CGCAATGATGATGATGATGATGGACCCAGGACAACACACATGACGAATATGGACTCGGAACAAAACACATCATGAAGATGGACACAGGACAATACACTTGTTGATGGACTCAGCATAAGACACATGATTATGATGATGATGGACTCAGGACAATACATATGATGATGATGATGATGATGATGATGGACAACACACATGATGATGATAATGGACTCAGGACAACACACATATGATGATGATAATGGACTCAGGACAACACACATATGATGATGATGATGATGATGGACTCAGGACAACACATATGATGATAATGAAGGCCTCAGGACAACACACATGACGATGATGATGGACTCAGGACATCAAACATGACGATGATGATGGACTCAGGAGAACACACATGATGATGATGGACTCAGCACAACATACATTATGATGATCAACTCAGGACAACACACATGATGATGATGATGATGGACTCAAGACAACACACTTGATAACAGACTCAGGACAACTAACATGACGATGATGATGGACTCAGGACATCAAACATGTCGATGAGGGACTCAGTACGACACACACGATGATGATGATGATGGACTCAGCACAACACACATTATGATGATGGACTCAGGACAACACACGATGATAATGATGATGATGATGATGATGATGATGATACACTCAGGACAACACACATGATGTTGACGATGATGGAGTCAGGACAACACACACAATGATGATGATGGACTCAGGACAACACACGCAATGATGATGATGGACCCAGGACAACACATGATGATGATGATGATGATGGACCCAGGACAACACACATGACGAATATGGACTCGGAACAAAACACATCATGAAGATGGACACAGGACAATACACTTGTTGATGGACTCAGCACAAGACACATGATTATGATGATGGACTCAGGACAACATAAACGATGATTATGATGATGATGGACTCAGGACAATACATATGATGATGATGATGATGGACTAAGGACTACACACATGATGATGATGATGGACAACACACATGATGATGATAATGGACTCAGGACAACACACATATGATGATGATAATGGACTCAGGACAACACACATATGATGATGATGATGATGATGATGGACTCAGGACAACACACATGATGATAATGAAGGCCTCAGGACAACACACATGACGATCATGATGGACTCAGGAGAACACATGATGATGATGGACTCAGCACAACATACATTATGATGATCAACTCAGGACAACACACATGATGGACTCAGCACATCAAACACAACGATGATGATGGACTCAAGACAACACACATTATTATGATGATGGACTCAGGACAACATACATGATGATGGACTCAAGAGAACACATGATGATGATGATGATGATGATGGACTCAGGACAACCCACATGATGATGATGGACTCAACACATATGATAATGATGATGGCCTCAGGACAACATACATGATGATGATGATGATGATGATGACGATAACACATATGATGATAATGGACTCAGGACAACACACATGATGATGATGGACTCAGGACATCAAACGTGATGATGATGGCCTCAGCACATCAAACATGACGATGATGATAGACTCAGGACAACGCACGTGATGATGATGGATTTAGGACAACATACAATGATCATGGACTCAAGACAACACATATGATGATGATGGTCTCAGCACATCAAACATGACGATGATGATAGACTCAAGACAACACATATGATGATGATGGCCTCAGCACATCAAACATGACGATGATGATAGACTCAAGACAACACATGATGATGATGATGGACTCAGGACAACACACATGATGATGGACTCAGGACAACATACACGATGATGATGATGGACTCAGGACAACACACATGATGATGATGATGGACTCAGGACAACATACACGACGATGATGATGATGGACTCACGATAACATACGACGATGACAATGGACACATGATGATGATGATGATAATGGATTCAGGACATCAAACATGACGATGATGGACTCAGGACAACACACATGATTATGATGATGGACTCAGGACAACATACACGATGATGATGGACTCAAGACAACAGATATGATGATGATGGCCTCAGGACAATATACCTGACAATGATGATGGACTCAGGACAACACACGTGATTATGATGGACTCAGGACAACAAACATGATGATGAAGATGGACTCAGGACATCAAACATGACGATGATGGACTCAGGACAACAAACACGATGATGATGATGGACTTAGGACAACACACATTATGATGATGGACACAGGACAACACACATGATGATGGACTCAGGACATCAAACATGACGATGATAATGTACTCAGGACAACACTCTTGATGATAGACTAAGACAAGCTAACTGCTCACCTAGCTGGTTAGCTAACATTTGCTATCTTTTGTGGTAAAAGTTGTACAAAAATAACAAAAAAGCAACACATTTCTCTGCCCAACTACCAACTTAGAGAAGAAAAAAGCAGGAGTCTGACAGAAGTGTGCCTTCCTCAAGATGGGAAACTTCAGCCGGTCGGTCAGCTCTGCTCCTTTTTTCACATTTCTTTTGGAAAGAACACAGGCTTACACTGATGATCTCACAGACGCTAAGAGATTTTGATTGGCTGATGTTTTTGTTGGGCTGAATCACAGTTGTTACCCTCTGGACATCCGTGACAAAATCAGGAGGTGCGTAAATAAAAACAGCTGTTATTATCTTTGACTTGACTTGATAAACTGTGCTGTTCATGTATCAGAGTGAATTCAATCCATACATTCTTTTCTGTTCAAAAGATTTATTTAATGCATATTTTATTATGCAAAGTACAGATTTGTTTATGTTTAGGTTCTGAATCATTTTATTTCCCACCACAAACATCACTGATATCATTCTCAGGAATGTAGGCTGTTGGTTTGAGTTTGCAGCCCATCCACCTGACAAAGCCCTCTAAACACAGAGAGAGTGACACGTCTGCAGGCTTTAAAGCCTCTTATCACTGCTGTGTGTGTGACGCCCTTAAAAAAAAAAAAGAAAGAAAGAAGGAAAGAAAAAGTATGTTTCTGTTTTGATAATGATACAAGAAAAAAAATGTATGTTCAAAGAAGAAAAGAAAAAAAAGCGTGTTTCTAACTGTTTTGATACTGATAAAACACTGCATTTCTCTATATGAGCAAATACTGTGTGATCGATTGGTCGAGCCTGTCATTGATGTGCGATTAGTTCGGACTGAGCGCGGGAACCTAGAGAATGCACGTTTAGCTGTGAGCAGTACGCTTCGTGTCCTGTGTTTGCTCTAAAACTAATATTCTCTATCATTCCCCCTCTCAGGTACGAAATATTTAAAGAAAATTGCAAGTATGGTGTTTAAAGCAGCGTCCTTGTTTGTGAAATCCTGTTTAATTGTGGTTTTAATAGCAAATTTTCTGTCTTTATGTGACGTTTCTAAAATGCAAGTCACTAGCTTAGCTCACTGACCTGGTGCTCTGATAAAAGCTAAAGGAGAAAATAAGCTACCCAGCCTCGTTCTAAGGAGTTATATGTTCATTTAACAAGAGACTTATATGACTGTTGTAAGTTTCACTCATTTTCACTGTTCACATTTTGTATGGAAACTACTTTACTGTTCTTTAGTAATTTAAACTGAGCTATACTTACGGAATGAGTAATGCTAAAAGGCTAAGTAGCTCAGCTAAACAATGCGAACGTGCCTGTTTATTGTTAAGCCTGTTGTGATGTACAGATTTGCTGCTCTAGTTTGTGTTCAAAATGTGACTGATATAAAGCTAAATTGAGGTATATGGAGTTCAACAGCTTCAAGTACCAAGTTAATTAGGTACTATTGTTCTGTGTAAGTGAAGGCTGTGGGAAATATGGGGAAAGTGCTAAAATTTGGCTACTTGTGATTGTGCTAAGCTAAAAGTGAGTTTAAAAGCTAAAAGTGAACTAGTTGAGAGCTTCTGTATTTAATTTGCATATTCCTTTCCTTTGAGAAGTTGTGAAGTGAATGTATGTGTATGTATGTATGTGTGTTAGCTCAGCACGTGAACAGTGTATGCTTTTCTAATGCGCTATAAAGAGTGTTCAATGTAATGAATCCTAATTCTATGCATAATATCAAATGACTTATAAAGTGATGCAGCTGTGAGCAGTACGCTTTGTGTCCTGTGTTTGCTCTAAAACTAATTCTCTATCATTCCCCCTCTTAGGGGCGTAACGTGCTGCACTTGTGCTTCATACATAACAGGAAAAAAGTTAATTTTTTCTAAAAAAAAATTTCTGTGAACAATTTTGCCTCAATTAGCGGTCAGAGATACATTTTCATATGTTTATTTAAATTGGATGATTTTTACCAAATGTGCGGTTGACGATGATGGACTCATGACAACACACATGGTTTTGGGTTCTGTGGGCCCCATTTTCAATGTTTACCCAAATTAAAATATGATGTGATTTATTATTATTTCAGCCTCAGATTCTTGTCCTTTGCTCATTTTCTGTGAAGAACATATAAAATAACCCATTTTCAGTGTCTTCACTCTGTTCACCCCCCACACATTTATATTACACATGTGGTGTTGGGTGAACCCGCGGGGAGGAAAAGTGTGGAGGTGGTGTGTCCTTCACTCTGTTCTCCTCCTACATGGCCTGCTGTTAGTGTGTGTGTGTGTGTGTGTGTGTGTGTGTGTGAGGGTGGACAACACGGACAGGCTGCTGACTGGCTACAGCTGCTAAAGAAGAACCCTACGCTGGACACCTGTGATATTTTAAACATCTGGTATTTTTACATAAATTGTTATGACTGTATTGATTAAAAAAAAACAATAGTATGGTGGGTCCAGCAGACCACTGAGTGACAGACACATCAACACCACACAAGGGTTAAATATGATGTAACTGAGCCAGACATGAGAAGAATCAATCAGCCTCCATCAAATTTCAGCTTTACAATCAATCAGCATTAATAATCAAACAAGTTCCAGACTTTAATTTCAGTTGAAGTGCAATCACGGCTAACAACTGACTGAGAATTAGCAAAATAAAGGCCAAGAGACTCTTCAGACCAGAGGAACTCCAAACACCTCCACCTCACACAGAGAGAGATACTCCTTCCTTTCTGGAATCACAACGTTGATGTAGCGTCCCACCATCCCGTTACACTGGAAGGTCACAGAAGGGGTGTGACTTGCGTTAGGGATCAAACCACACCTACAGAAGCAGGAAAAGAGAAATAAATTATTACCAACAGTAGGTTATTTTATAACAAAAACCCTGTTTTAAAAATATTCATATGGAATGTTTAGTAAGACCAACACTGACTTGTATGCCTAGACTTGGTATGTATTTTTAGTTTAATGCATTTTAGTTTTTTAATCAAAGAAATGTTAAACGTTGAAAATATTATTTACAATACCAAGTGATACAGTCCCAAAACTGAATAATGGCGTGGTGCATTTTCTAACCAGTAAGTGATAATTAATAACAATAAACAGCCTTTTGTGTAAATTTTTCAACTTCCATTTTATTGAGACGTGTGTGCTCCATTAACCATGGAAAATCAGAAACTCAACATTTTCTTTGTATAATTAAAAAATGACAATTATAATGCTATTATACATTCATGAGCAAATTTTAACACACTTTGAGTACAAAATATTTTGTCACTTATACCTGAAGAAAGTTTACCTTGGGTTGTTGTTGCCGTTGTTGTCCAGAGTGTCTCCAATTCTGATTTCAGCTCCATTCAGCCTTTCGGGAACCTGGTCCTGCCTGTTAGTGACGGTGATGGAAAACACTCTGTGTTGTTTCAGCAGGTCCAGCCTCCACCACGGACCAAGGTCGTTGTTCGTGTGTGTGCAGGAACCGTGATTGTACACACCATCTCGATTTCCGTCAACGGCTTTAGATGCCAAACCAGTACCATAAAGGCTGGACTGTGTAGCTGCTTTTTTCAGTGCTACGTTCTCTCCTGCACAGGAAACAAAGTCAAAATTGGTGACTGATCATTTGTAGCAAATAGATCACTCTGAATCTAAAAAAACAATATAGCTGATTAATAAGCTGTTTACAAAAAAGTTTAAAGTAAAGCAAAAGCTAGAATATGAAGGTAGACAGGGTTCCTTCTGATAATAACCGAACCGTTAATTTTGCCCCTTATCTCTTCTTATTAAAGTCTGCTGCAGGGTTTCAGTGTCTTGGCGTAACACTGCAACCAGTATGTGAAATACCCCTCTGGAATTCTGGGGATCCCATGTTGGCTGGCTGCTAACTCACTCTCCATAGCAGCGCTAATGCTAGTTTCAGTGGCAGCAAAATGTTTGTTTTAGCAATTATTCATCTGGAAATGCTCTTTTCTAGTTTGGGCACTTGGTAAATTGGGAACGTTTTCAGATTTACAGATAAGCTGCGGCACATTGCAAAGTTTTTCAGAGGAATCCCAGGCATGGTTACAGTTGCTAGGCTATGAAGGACAAAGTGGATGAAACAATTTGCAACAGCACCACCCTGAGGCAGAGCAGTGCTGCAGCTCTAGTTAGGTAAGTTAGTTAAGAAAGTCAGAATCCCCCCTGCCCCAGAAATTTGATTTTGAAGCATTTATGGGGTCCAAGAGGTGTATTTCACACCTTGCCTGCAACCACATCATGAAGAGACTGGAATCTGACAGTGTAGCTTGTACAGTTCCATATTTATTAACCATTTCAGGATAAAAGCTCTGATGTTGGATGAAGCTTCTCATGTCCACAGAATTAGATGTGAATTTTACATTTGTAAACAGACGTAGACGATCAGTGCTCTTGCTCTGAGTAAACATGGACTCTACGTGTGTACATGTTTTGTTCTCACCACGCTGAGTGGGATATCCATAGACTTCAACCTCACAGAGAGTCAAGAGCCGGTTATTTCCAGGTATGATAATGTTTACATAACGTCCTGAGAACCCTTTATCCCAGTGGAAGGTGAAGGATCTTCCTGGAGGAATGGAGGAAATCACCTCCACTCTGAAAAGTAGAAAACACACACAGAAACTTAAGCTCCAATCACGAACCACTGAGTGCTGAACACAGGACCCATAGAAGCTGTCAAATATGTACGTTTATAATGTAGACATCAAAGCATGACCGAACACATACAGATCAAATGTGTTTTAGGCAGCGTAGGTTATTTTTCTTTAATATTAGCAGATTCATTAGTATTATATTACTCATTTTATATTCCTTATTCTCTTCATTAGACATTGTGATCTCTTTTACCTACTGCATATGTTTGGACGTATTTATTTGTTGGATTAAACCCCTATACACACCCCCCTTGGTCTCACACTAATGGGATGAGCTTTAAGTACTTTTCCCTATCATGTGGCTCGCGCCAGGGTTGACCCCTATCACCACTACTCTTCGCTATAACTGTACAGCCCCTGGCTTTTGCTATCCATACAGGGAGATCTTAAACAAAAAGTCTCTTTATATGCAGATGACGTGGCGTTATACATCACTGACACAAACGTCTCTTTGACTCAGGTCCTTCAAGTTATAACCATATACAATTTGTTTCCAGGTTAAAAGTTAAATGCTTAGAAAGGTTAGTTATTCCCATCAACATATTAGCTAATGATTTACCTCCCAGTGCTTAGTCCTTCCATCTAGTCCACCTTATATTTAAATATCTTGGTATTACTTTTGCCTGTAAACATTAAGACGTCTTAAAGTTTTATTTCGCACCACTTCTTGCCTGCATCGGAAATAAACTGTCCCATTGGTCCTCCCTTCCCCTGATATTCATTTGCTGTCAGTATTGCAAAACTTTATATGCTTCCAAAATTTCGTACGTATTTCAGTCTATTCTTACCAAGTTTTTGGTAAGTCTTCAATCAACAAAAACTTTTACGTATGTTGCCGACCTATTTCTTACTGTGAGGTTTCAGCGTGATAGTCTATTTTCAGATCATCTTAAGTGCTTCAACTAAAAATAGCAGCTTTTAAAGAAAAAAAAGTATTAGGATTCGTATCAGCCGATACTCAAGGTTTCAGTACTGGTATCTGTATCAATACTGAACAATAGTGGTATCATACCTATCTCTACCTAATGCTGATACTGTAAAATAAAATCTATTCTCTTGGTTATATAACACTTTTAGTAGGCTTTTGGACTTGATTAACATAGTAAAATTTATCAAAAAAATTATGATGCTATCAAACTAAAACTGTGTCTTGAGTTAAATATTGTATAATTAAAAATACAATAATATTACACATCAAAATGAATTTCTTACCGTGGATTATCATTTCCATTATTGCGTAAAGAGTTTCCGATGCATATTTCAGCTCCGTTGATCCTCTCTGGACAGCAGTCTCCTCTGTTAGTGATGGTGATGGAGGTCACTGTGTACTCGTCCAGAAGGTCCACCCTCCACCAGGGGTTTTGTTGCCACCTGGTGGCAGTGCACGACCCGTGGCCAAAGTTTGAATCAATATTTCCATCTATAGCGTTGTAGGCGTGACCGTATGCTGCATAGGGGTTTTCAACCAAGGATGACTGTGTGGCTTTTCCATAGAGAGCGAGGTTTTTGGCTGGAATTAACAGAGCAATGCAGACTCAGTTGTACATCAACACAAAAAGAATCATCCTGAGTTCAGACAGAATTTTGTGGGCTACAGTCGGTTCAGACAGAATTTTGTGGGCTGCAGTCGAGTTCAGACAGAATTTTGTGGGCTACAGTCGAGTTCAGACAGAATTTTGTGGGCTACAGTCGGTTCAGACAGAATTTTGTGAGCTACAGTCGGTTCAGACAGAATTTTGTGGGCTACAGTCGAGTTCAGACATAATTTTGTGGGCTACAGTCGGTTCAGACAGAATTATGTGGGCTACAGTCGAGTTCAGATAGAAATGTATCTGGCTTTTTGTGAAGCTCCAATGTCTTACAGCGAAAACTTAGACTGCTATCCATAAATAATTGAACAAAAACCATGTAGAATTTTATTAAATTGTTGTGGCTTTGTGGTTTAGCATATCTGAAAAAAAGTCATGACTGTGAAGATCAATTTCAGAACCTCTGTGTGATGGCATGATATGATGGCATTTACATGTGAGCTAACCGCACTGAAATTAAAAAGAAAAGCTGACGTGTACCTTGTGTGGAATATGCATCAATGAAACCAGATACTGCAATGATCCCAAGCAGGTAAAACATATGATGATGCATTTTTCTAAAAAACAAAATACATACATTATTTTAACTCTACTAATTGATGCACATTTATTGTCATGTGCTATATTCATTCTTCATTACATTATTCTAAAATACCATTTTCTAGCAAATTTATTATAAACATTCAGCTACGTTAAACATTCTGAGAAGAACTCACCTTTAACTGAAAGGTGCAGAATTATGCTGTCTCAAAGATGTGATCAGTGTCAGTTATGCATGCCAACAGCACACAGGCCTTTATATAAGGCTTAATATTCAAAACAGTTCATGACTGACAAACAATTCTTTGGTTACACAAAATAGGATATGAGCTATAAAGCCATCCTGTAATGTGAGCGAGGGCTCTATCTATGTTTACTGTTTTAATGTGAACTGTACTTCGTCGGAATTCCAGACTAAATTTACACAAGATATAAAATTTACACAGAACATCTGCTTCAATGTGATGGTATATGACTGTGAGCTGAACCACACTGGAACTGAGGCTCAACATCTGAACCAAATTTGCTGTTTAAATATCAGCAAATCTTCATGAATAATGTTTGAATATTTGCATGTTCATTTTTTAATGTTATGGATATAAAATTAAAATGCAGAGGTTTAAATGTTATTTTTAATACTTTATATTGGGTATAAAGCGATCTACTATTATATTTGATCAGAAGAGGGCTGTGTCTTTGTTTATTTTTCCTGAGAACTGGAATTTCACATGAATACATTTTTACACAAGTTACAAATTTAACAGAGCTGTAATCAAACCAGTGGATAATGTCAATATTGCCTCACCTCAGTGCTACTATCTCTTGGTGCTGAGAGGGTATATTTTATATTTCTATATGCGGTTTCAGGTACAAAAGATTTATTAAATCAGTTTCAATTGAATTTTCAAATAAATAGCATCTCAACTAAAAATTAACATGCCCTTTTAATATTCATTCTTTTAATTTTCAATAAGACAAGCTACTTCAGAGGAGATTATAGACCACTATGCACAGATTCTTCATTCAGAAACACACAGACTTACTAAAATATTTCCCTCTTAAATACTAAAAACAATAATGCGAAGAACTCTTCTTTGGGCTCAGTAGATCAGTAAGCAGTCGCTGTTTTATTCTGTCATCAGGAGATTGTTTAGTGCAGTATTACATCCCTCAGCCTCATCGGTTTGACAAAATTCAGAATTTTCTATTGTTTTCATGTTTTCTTTTATTAATAGTCTTTCACTACAATACCCACCACACATTGCGTAAACACATCTGTGGTGTGTGCCCGGGCCCCGATGGCGGCTGCGAGAGCCTGCTGGAAGGTGGGGCCTGAAGCAGGAGGAGGAGGACGACGACACTGCCGGTCACGAGAGGCACGAGGGCAAGGAGTGAGTCCTGAGCTCCACCGCCCGGGCCCCGCCCCCTGTTCCGCAGTGAGGCCACTTCACTACACCTCACGTTCGACCCAGGCGGCCGAGCTGCGAGCTGGGGGCGGTGACGGGGAGGTGTAGCAGCGAGCTCTCGTTCCCTCTTGGCTCGGTAGGTAGATAGGGACGAGCAGCAGCGGCAACAGAAGACTGAGGACAGCGCTGAAAAGCTTACTTTAAAAAGGACTGAAAAGTGGCCAGCACAGCTCTGATTATTTGGTTTTGCTTGCTTTGTGTTTATTTGGTGTGAAATTAAAACATGGTTGCTGCAACACTGAATCCTGCCTCCCGCGTCCTCCTTGTGCCCGGGTCAGCGCATTCTGTGCTACATCATCATAAAGCTATTGGGAATCCCTGTGGTGTCACCCAATCATGACTGCTAGTATGGCCACTGAGCTACAGGCTAAGAAACAACTAAGTTAGCAGTAATGTAACTCTTACCTTGATTAGCGAACAAAATTATTAAGGAAACAGAAAAACAGAGATTTTGTCGTTAGTGAGGATGAAGACCAGAGATGAGTTTTTACTCTTCTATTCAGAGAAAAGGAGCCAAACTGAGGTAAGATTGCTAGGTTTAGCTTTTACCTTGGTGTCCTACTCATCTGACGAGTCACTACTGTGACTGGAGTAATCCATTCTGTCCATTTTAATTATGATTTGAAGACACATGTCCACGTGGATGTTTAACAACTGGAACCCATAAAGATTTGTCTACCGGCTCCATATGGGCCCTGTGTGTGTTAACCCATATGGGGCCAAGTTGGGCTGCAAGTGGGGCCTATGTGAGCAAACATCCACTGGCCCTACATGGGCCCCTTATTGTGTGCCCTTATATGGGCTAATGTTGGGGCTGAGAGTGGTAAGTGGGGGCCCTTATGGGTAATAGGGGCCACAAGTGGGTTATCACATGTATTACATATAGTTACCATTGGCCGGTGTGCAAAAAAGTGATTATTAAAATTGCTCCAACTCATTCACACTGTGTAACTGACAGCATCACTTTTCTATCATATATGATGAAACACAGAATGCTAAATGGACTTTAATACTGTTAAGTAATTTATTAATTTCTTTCAATTTGATATAATGCTATTACAAAATGTTAAATAGTTTCACAGTTATTAAATCAACTGTAAAGGGTAAAGCAGTAAGCTACCACACTGCTTTGAGCAAAGTATCTGCAAGTATCAGTATATGAAATGTTTGAGCTTTTTAATGCCTCTTTACACAGAACCACATTATAAGCAGCCTGAGCTACAATAGTGCAAATTTCCACAAGTTTCCTTATGTTTCAGTGTTATGTTAGCGCCTAGCTAATAGTAGTTTGCAGTCACTTATCCACACTGGGTTTAATGCTATGAAACTTCTGGCTTTAAAATAGACCTTAAAGCTTATAAAACACATTAAATTATAACATATTCTACTCTGTATGTTGCAGTTTTCAGTGAATTATTCAGTAAATACTTCAGCTTAAAGCGTACAGCTTGTTAGCCTGTTAGCCATGTGCTGCATATTACACAGCATATTTCTTATTTCATCTTCAAGTTTGCATCAGAAGTCAAACTGAAGAAGATTTTACAACTCCTAAATCAGCAAAATAAAATGTTTTGCATGGTTTGTATACATAAAGACAAAAATGTTGGACAGTTAGTGAAAACGTTTACTTAGCCACATAGCAAGCTGGCTGTTTTAGAATTTGTTTGTTTCACTGGTTTACAGGCTTTATCTCACTTATTAAGGCTAATATCTTATCCCTGCAACAAAAAGTTCAATTTTACTTAGCAATAGCAGTGAAATTGGACTAAATATTCCTTTTTAGCTCCATAATTCTGTTGATTAATCCTCAGAAGTGGAAAGCTAGCCTTTTAGCTATTGAAGGCTCGAGGTGCCTTTTGAACCAGTTCCAACCAGTTCCAGAAAATAGCCTTTTATCTTTAGTCAAATATGAAGCCATGTGGAAAAGCAGAGACGTCTGCAGACTATGTCTTATACTCAGACTTATATATTATGTCTTATACTCATGTTTAAATGATCTTATATATCTTATAAATGTGTCTATATTTACAGTATTTCCTTAGGAATATTTAATATTGCTTATGCTTAACATTTTTAAAGCATTTGATATTCCATATTTGTAAATTTATGAAACCCAACTAGGGCCCACAGATGTAACCCGACTGGGGTCGATGACAGTCTCTAACTGGATCCTGTGTCTTTAACCCAGTTGTGGCTCATATACAGCCCTTCAAAAAGCCCATATAAGCCCATAATCACATAAAACCTACACAGCCCAGTTAAAATAAACATGCGGCCCATGTGAACATGGAAGCTGAGCAGTTACTACAGTTTTATGACTGCAGTAAGATACTCCTATCAGTAACATTAACCATCTGTTTTCTTTCTTCATTTACTTCCCAAACTATTAAAAAAACTATTAAAACGACCTGACACCAAAAGCTTTTCAAAAGTTCCTTCAAGATACATCATCAAAAGAGGGTTTTCCCAGTCTTTAAAAATTATGAAGACAGAAGAGCTAATTTTGGATTTCAGAAGGTCTAAATGCTGTGTAGTTTTTAGATTTATATCCACCACTACCTCAACTGTGCCTTATAATCTTCTGTACATCATTTTTTGTACATCATTTTCTAGAAATCTGCCACTTTGTTCACTTTTGCACTACTACTATGCAATGATAATAAAATTCTACCAGTGACACTTTAAGTGTCTTTTTTAAGTGAAATAAACACTCAACAGACTTTCAGTAACATATCAACAACATATCAATGATGTAGTAGCAGTGAATGCATTCAGTAGATTATCAAGAGACTTTGAATTAACTGTGATCTGTAAATGTTTAATCTGAGAGGAACTGAACATTAACAGGTTTAATACAGACCATCAACATCAACAAGCTGTTACAGACGCACTGGCACCATCCTGGACCTGGAGGGTTTGGGTTGAGGTTAAGGTTAGAATTAGGGCCAGAGTGAGGGTTAGAATTACGGCCAGGTTTAGGGTTAGGATTAGGTTTTGGGTTGAGGTTAAGGTTAGGATTAGGTTTTGGGTTGAGGTTGAGGTTAGGGTTAGGGCAAGGATTAGGATTAGGTTTTGGGTTGAGGTTGAGGTTAGGGTTAGGACAAGGATTAGGATTAGGTTTTGTGTTGAGGTTAAAGTTAAGGTTAGGATTACAGCCAGGATTAGGCTTAGGTTTTGTGTTGAGGTTAAGGTTACGATCTATCTATCTATCTATCTATACTGGAGATTACAGTGGTACAGCTGTTAGAGGCAAGTTGCCATGTTTACAACAGATGTCTTGATGATTACAAGGTTGTTACTCAAGAACAACCTTTGTCCTGAAAGGGGTGCTTCAGGGACCAAGTCTTGGTCCCCTCTTGTTTGCAATATACCATACTTTTCAGCCAAATCATCAGCAGTCTTTGTTTCCCTTCTGCATCACAGCATCTGACAGCATTTGAAAGCTCTGGAGAAATGATCATTTTCCTCAAGCAACCCAGAGAAAACTTGGCCTCTGATGTATGAAATGTACCAATTTTCACAAAAATGCAAGACAAAGTCTTTGAAAGATTATCAAGAGCTACTTTTATTCATAGTTTGCTGGAGCTAACCATAAAACAAGTTATACAAGTAGAAGATCTCATGCTAAAAAAGTAACACAGAAAAATAGGCCATTCTTTCAACCCAATGAGTTGCAATTTGGACTGGAATCAAAGAAGCACAACTTTTATTTTTCCTACTTGGCAGAAGACAAAACAGGGGGCTGTCCAAAAAAAAAAAAATCTCCATTTTGGGGGATTTGTGGTGATAGTTTTATGATGAGTGGACCAATAGAAATGCTTGAAAATGACTTTAAATAAAACCTCTTTACATTAACCTACATTAAAGGTAAAGAATGTTGTTGTTTTCTCCTGTACAGTTTTGCAGATACTTTTTGGTTTTTTTTTCATTTTTTGTTTTAGAATTAGTGGCTGTGTTTCAAGTTCTTAGTAGATAACCCACTTCACTGGTCATGCACACCAGTGCAGGGTCAGTGTTGCCATTAATTAGTGCCTTTTTTAGCAAATCTGCCTCCACAAGTTATTTTGACTTAAGAAAATACAAGTTTACATACAAAAAATACAAGAAAAGTTGTTTCATAGTGTAAAAGCTGGTAGAGAAATGAAACAGATCAACATCGCACTGCAATAACAAAAACCCAGATGAGGTTCTTCAGATCAGAGGAGCTCCGTACACCTCCACCTCACACAGAATGAGATACTCCTTCCTTCCTGGAATCACAATGTTGATGTACCGGCCCTCCATCCCGTTACACTCAAAGGACATGATCGGAGTCTCTTTATCAATGGTTGAGATCACCGCACAACTGATGAGGCAGGAAGTGAAAGGAAAATAATTAATTATAGTATTTTAATTATTTACAGAATTGTTTCTGCTGAGATGCAAAGAAGAAACAACTTATAATTTTAAATGATCACTGATACCTCGGGTTATTGTTGCCGTTGTTGTCCAGACTGTCTCCAATTCTGATTTCAGCTCCCTTGAGTGTGTCAGGAACATTATCCACCGTGTTAACGACGGTTACAGAAAACACTTTGTGCTGTTTCAGCAGGTCCAGCCTCCACCATGGATTGAGGTCATTATCCGTGTGTGTGCAGGAACCGTGAGTGTACACACTATCTCGGTTTCCATCAATGGCGTTGGATGGAAAACCAGTACTATAAAGGCTGGATTGTGTAGCTTTTCCATTCAGCGCTACATTCTCTCCTGCACAGGAAACAATCTGATCAAAATGAAACCAATAATATCCAATAATAGATCTATTCTGAAGGGTTCCTGTAAATCTGAAGAACAGTACCCTCACCAGCGCTAGTTACATTTATTTTTACATGAACTTCAGTACAATACTGGTGGATTTGAACTCTCCTGAGTATTTTCAAATAGTAATACTTTTACTTCTACTTGAGGATTATAAGTAAAGGAATCTACCTGTACTTAGTACTAGTTACTAACTCCTTTTTTGTGTTTAATTTCATTCTGTTTTGTTGGTGAGACCATCTGTACTGCTTTGTGATTGGTCACATCTTTGACTTTGGGGTGTTAGCATTTTATTTTAAAAGAATCCCAAAGAAGAGAAGAACAGAGCTGGACAAACTTTTCCAGTTCCTGTGCTGGTAGATGCTGGATGTTCTAAGAAGTCCCACTGCAGTTCTATAAGGTACTCAGTACTTAATCAGTAACCCCCTCTCTTGTAGCTCCACTGGGTGTACAGTTAAAGGCTGTTGATGCACAGTTTGTGTTAGCCATCATCAGCTCCATCAATGGGCAGTTTCTTGAACCTCTAGCAGTGATATTGGTGTGTAAAAACTCCAGCAACAATGACGAGCGATAGCGAATCTCTAAACTGGTGAAAGTTATAAAGTGACCACTCAGTGGGCGACCAAAGTAGTTTCTATAAAAGCTCTAGCTCATTTAACAATATGTTTTCAGTAAATAAAAGTTTGTGATGCACTGAACTAATGTCTGAACTGATGCCTGAAAGTAAGTCGAGTTACTTGATCTATGAAAAGACTAGTATGGGTTTGGATGAGTTATTAAACTCTCCTTCTAGGACACAGCCTGTCTGTTCTTCTCACCGCTTGGAGTGGGATAGCCGTAGACCTCCACCTCACAGAGAGTCAGAAGCCGTTTTTCTCCGGGGATGACCACGTTAACGTAGCGACCTGAAATGCCTTTCTCAAAGTTGAAGGTGATGGAGTTCCCTGTAGAGATGCTTGGGATCACCCCAGCCCTGGAGAGAAAACAGTGCATACATGTGAGATTGAGAGATTTTCAACAGAAAATATATGATGTGTTTAGTGTGTCTCCACTTTCCCTTTATTACAGTTTCCATTCTTCTCAGCAGACTTTCATCAGTGCAGCAGTAATAAGAGATGGCATGAGAGCTTATAACTGAACTCAGGAGATTTGTCTCCAGGGAGAACAAAAGTGGACTGAGAACTGACCCCTGCGGAACTCCACTATTGAGGCTTGTATGTGGACTAGTTGGTGTGGAAGACAGTCAGGTCTGTGGTTTTTGACAATGTGAAATAACCCAAGCCTGACATATATTTAAGACATTATGTCCAAACCTGGCAAGTATTTCATTAGTTGGTTAATTTGTTTGTTATGGCACAGGTTAGTTCTGATCCCTAGTAGCTTTAAAGCAATACCAGCAACAATTACCATTTCACAGTGAAGTAGAAGAACAGGTGTCTCACCATGGGTTGCTGTTTCCGTTGTCGAGTAAAGAGTTTCCAATGCGTATCTCAGCTCCGTTGATCCTCTCTGGACAGCAGTCTGCTCTGTTAGTGATGGTGATTGAGGTCACTGTGTACTCGTCCAGAAGGTCCACCCTCCACCAGGGGTTCTGATGCCACTCTGTGGCGGTGCATGACCCGTGGTCATAGTTCGAATCAGTATTTCCATCTATAGCATTGTAGGCATGACCGTATGGAGCCCAGGGGTTATTAACCAAGGTTGACTGTGTGGCTTTTCCATAGAGAGCGAGGTTTTTGGCTGGAGTGAACAGAGAAATGCAGAGTTTCAGTCAGTTGTACATCAACATGAAAAGCATCATTCTGTGATCAGTGAAGTTAGTTCTGTTTAATTAAGTTTTAGTAAGTAAAACAGCCAAAGTACAAAAAGGGAGCAACCCTTCACAAAGTTTGAGTGGTGAGTAAACAGTATTTAAAGTGTCCGTTAATGACAAGCAGCTGCCGCTTGTCAACACTCAGAGGTGCTCGATCTCTGGAATGGCTCACGATTGGCCAATGGTTCTGACATGTTAGTCATGTGATTTGCTGTTGCATCCTGGGAAGTGGAGTTTTGTAGGGGATCCACCTCTGAACTGACCGAGCCGGAGGGAAGCATGACATAACGGCTATTTTGACTGGAATTGAAGTAAATGAAGAGTCTGTGACTTTTGTACAGAGTTTTCTGCTACTGGCAAACAGTCCTCAATTAGCTATAATTATAGTTAGCTATAATTAAAAAATATATAAATTATAATTAAATCAGTGGTGACCAGTTCTCTAGGCTGGTATGTTCAACAGGGTTAGGGATGCATTGATACTGATACTGGTATCGGGTATTGGCCTATACTGTACTCAACCTCATAAAAATGCACCGCAATAATAATAAAAAAAAATGCATGAATGTGCTATTGATGGTTCTATATAGAACCTTTTTAAAAAAGGTTCTATGTAGCACCTAGAAGGTTCTTCTATTGTTACAAGCTTGACACCGTAACAATAGAAGAACCCTTTTGGGTGATATATAGAACCATTTTCAAAAAGGTTCTATATAGAACCATCTACAGCACATTCTCCATCAATCTGAAGAACCATTTCACCATGCAAAGAACTCTTTAAATCATGCAAAGGATTCTTTGAGTGTTCATGGTTGTATATAGAACCATTTTCTTTATTAAAGAACCCTTGAATGTTCTTTGAAACCCTTTTTTAAGACTGTACTTGTACTCGGTCTGAAAAAAATACTCTCACTGTTTTCCTTAACAGAATAATGAATTACATTGTTCAACTTAATATGAACAATTTCATCCTTAATTAATTCATTAATTAGTCAGGTATTCATTAGGTTTGTACATAGGACTGTGTACAACCTCGATCTTAAAAAAGATCACAGTGCACAGAAAACTGCTTTATGCCTTGTTTATGTTGCTGATTATTATGTATACTTGTGTCCATATATATATATATGTGGAGATGATGTGTACCTTTCATAGATGATGCATCAGTGAAACCAGCCACTGTAATCACTCCCAGCAGGTAAAATATGTGGAGCCCCATTTTTCTATAAAAAAATGGAGTAAGAGTACAGTAACTATTGATTCTGTCTGCTCATCGCTGTATTACATTGTATTGTAGGTTATGTTCGTTATGGGTTTAAAAAGTATCCAAGCATTACTAATAAACTACCTTCATTAAGTGTTAGATATTTCCAGCATGCGATTTTGAAAGTATTTCTAGACATGCAGTGCATCAAAAATCTGAGATGAACTCACCGATAAGAGAAACTTGAAGAATTAAACTGCTCCAACGATGCTGCTGCCACTTTTCACTGCAGTGTGCCTTTTTATAAAGCAGAGTGTTATGTAAAGCTTAAAGGGGAGTTCCACCTATTTTTCAAAATTCCACCCATTGTTGAATGTGTGAGATTTGTGAGAATGTGTGGTTTGGTGTGAAATGGTTCAGATGTCTTTACAGTGGTGGTGATAGGAACCAGGGGTCGCCATGACGACAACACAAATATAGACATTTTATTTACTATCAGAACCACCAGTGAACCTACACGAGTCTTCTGAGTTTATATGGAATGTTGATGATGGAAAACAGTGGAAAATCTGAAATAATACGTTTTCTTTGGGGACTATTTTGCCTAATAACACCCTGCATGTATCCCTCCACTATGAATGGAGTTTAAGTTCTCTAAACTATCCTAAAACAGTGTCTCAGTCATCAGGCAGTCAATTCATAACCATTTCATGTAGGAACTTTCTGTGACGGAGCTTTTAGAGGTGGACGTCTGGTTCCTATCACCACCACTGTGAACAGTTCTGACTCGGTAAGTTTATCTAGAACAGAGCGTTTCACACCAAACCGCTCTGAATTAATTAACCAATTAAGAAATTTTGAAAAATCAGTGGAATTTCCCTTCAATGTGGTTGTTGTTATGTCTGGTCTTGCCTAACTGTTGTGTAAGTATGGAATCTTATTGGTCTCCTGAGGCCAGTTTGAACCAGTAAACACTGTGCCAGATGTTTAAGCCTGTTGCAATCACTGCAGTGTTGGTCCAGTGGAACAGTTTGAACTTTTATAACTACAAGATCCTAAAAAAAAGGTTCTTATAAATGCTACATTCATATGTGAATATATTAGATATGAATATGTTAAACATGGTAAATAGTTTAGATATTTTAATAATTTTCTAAGCTCCTGTTGTTATGATCCAAAAGTGGTTCTTCTATGCCTTCACATAGAGAACCCTCTTTGGCACCTTTATTTTTAAGACAATATGCAAAACTAAATCACAAAAAGTAGAGAATGTGACTATTAAGTCTAGTCCAAGAACAGAGGTCATATTAATCACTAGTCCACAATGGTTCCTAAAACAGTGTAGCTTATACTATCAACAGACAACAGAACTGTTTATTAGCTGCCTTTTATGTGGAAACCAAATGATTTAATCTGACTCCAAAAACACTCCCGGGCCACTTTATCGGAAACCCTTCACTTGTAGTTCCACCTTACTAGTGTTCAGTTATAAAGACAGTAGCACATCTGTCACTGTTGTCCAGTTTGTGTCAGTCATCCAAATAATATCTGGATGACAGCGGCCTTGTGGTCAGAAACTGATGTTGGCTGGAGTAGAGGGGGGCTGAAGGAGTGCAGCAACAGATGGACTTCAGTCTGTAACTGTACACTTACAAAACCTTAAGGTAGGTGTTTCTAATAAAGTGGCCAGTGAGTGGAAGCAAAAGGGAAGTGTTTCTTATAAGCTGGCCAGTGAAGGAAAACACAAGGTAGGTGTTTCTAATAAAGTGGCCAGTGAAGGAAAACACAAGGTAGGTTTTTCTAATAAAGTGGCCAGTGAAGGAAAACACAAGGTAGGTGTTTCTAATAAAGTGGCCAGATTGTGTAAGTACAAGGCAGGTGTTTCTAATAAAGTGGTCAGTGAGTGGAAGCACAAGGTAGGTGTTTCTAATAAAGTGGCCAGTGAGTGGAAGTACAAGGTAGGTGTTTCTAATAAAGTGGCCAGTTAGTGGAAGCACAAGGTCGGTGTTTCCAATAAAGTGGTCAGTATGCATATGTGTATTGAGGACTGGCATAAACGATATTTAAAACTATAACTGAGGAGTCAACTTGCGCTACTACAAAGCAATCAACAAACTGTAGAGCCAACAAAATTTATTCTTTCCCCAAGAGAGAAATAATAATCAACCAATTGTGATACAGTGTAATTACAGTGAACAGAGGACCAAGTAACCCAGCAGTGTACCCAGAAATACAGAAGGATATGAACAATAGAGCAGAATGGACTGTTCATAATATTCAAAATAACAGCAGCGAATAGCCAATTTTAAACCCCTTCAAGCAGTTTTAATCAAAATACAGTTGTTACAGTAGGTTTAAGCAATGGGAATATTCAAATTAAAAAAGGCCACATGGAAACCTGCAGGCAAATAAGGTTCATAAGAAATAGGACAACTTCTCCTTTTGAAAGGAGAGACCACATTCAGAGACCAGCACAGAGAAATAATCTGTAAATGTTCGCCTACTAAATGAACCCACATGCAACATAAAATATACTGCAAAACAAGACCAAACACAACGGAAATATATATCCAAATATAGCATCACCCTTAATTGCTAAGGGGAATGGTCAGTGAGCCTGTCGATCCTGGCCAACAGTCCCCTCACAGATAAAGATGTGGCCATTTGGTGGTCTCAGGGCTGTAAACAAAGCCTGTTATATGAGTGATCACAGTGATCAGCATCACAGTGTAATCATAAAGCGCCTTCAGATCAGAGGAGCTCCGTACACCTCCACCTCACACAGTATGAGATACTCGCTCCTTCCTGGAATCACAATGTTGATGTACCGTCCCTCCATCCCGTTACACTCAAAGGACATTGTCGGGTTGTTTTTATCAATGGAGATCACTGCACACCTGATGAAGCAGGAAGTGAAAGGAAAGTATCTCAGGATGACAATAGCTGACGAATGAAAACTGTTTTAAATTAAATAAACCAATAAGTGCAGATCAGAAGTTACATATCATTCAAAACATCATTTAAAAAATACCTTGGGTTGTTGTTGCCGTTGTTGTCCAAGCTGTCTCCAATTCGGATTTCAGCCCTGCTCAGCCTTTCAGGAACTGCATTCTGGGAGTTAGTGACGGTGACAGAAAACACTTTGTGTTGTTTCAGCAGGTCCAGCCTCCACCAGGGATTGAGTTCTTTGTTAGTGTGTGAGCAGGAGCCATGATCATACACACCATCCCGGTTTCCATCAACAGCACTGGACGCAAAATTAAAAGAATAAAGGCTGGACTGCGTCGCTCGTCCTTTCAAGGCTACATTCTCTCCTGCACAGGAAACAATCAGTCCAGTGAGAACGAAGAATGTCAATCCAATAACAGATCAATCATCAGTACATTCAACAGCCTGTCCACTTTATCAGAAAGCCCTCTCTTGTAGCTCCATCTCGCTGGTGTATCTGTTGATGCACACTTTGTGTTATCATTGGTCAGTTTCTGACTGTGGAAGCAGCTGGTCAGATTTAAATCAGTCTTTACTGGCCAAGTGTGTTTGCACAGGCAAAGAATTTTTCTTCGATTACAGTAGCTCATAATAAAAGGTAACTAACAGTTTAAATCTCATGTGTGCAGTCACATGGACATCCACACCTGAGTTCTGCCACACACACTGTCACACAACACATTCTAGCTTCTATTCCTGTAGACATTCGCACATTCGCACATACGCACATACACACATTCCCAGCAAAACCCCAGCAACCCTACTGTACTAAAGTGGCCGGTTAGTGGAAGAACAAGGTGGGTTGTTTATAATAAAGTGGCCAGTTAGTGGAAGAACAAGGTGGTTGTTTATAATAAAGTGGCCAGTTAGTGGAAGAACAAGGTGGTTGTTTATAATAAAGTGGCCAGACAGTGGAAGAACAAGGTGGGTAAGCACAATGTGGGTTATATTTTTTTTCTCACCATCTGGAGTGGGATAGCCGTAGACCTCGACCTCACAGAGAGTCAGGGCCTTGTTATTCCCGGGGATGACCACGTTAACGTAACGACCTGCGATGCCTTTCTTAAAATTCAAGGTGATGGATTCTCCTGCAGGGATGCTAGAGATCACTCCAGCCCTGAAGAAAACAGAGAATACAGTGCATATAAGAGAGATTGTATACATGTGCATTTGTATAGTCCACAGTCAGTAATAACTGAGAGGTCAGTTTTAGCTAAAACAATGTGCTTAAATGAACAATGGAGAAACTTTAGATGACTGTGCTTTGGGTAAGTGCATTCAAACGGGATTATGAAACAACTAAAGTTAAGTGGTTCCTTCTACTGAATGTCCTGATGTACCTGATGTCCAAACTGAGGTGGATTCTCATTGTTACTGCAACTCTGGCTAGTACTGCCTAAGTCAGATCTTCCTGGCTGACCTAATTCCTTGGCCTTGCGCCTTCTGACAGTCTGGACTCAGTGCAACTGGTACAAATCATTAATCTGACCAAAGCACTGGTGCATACTGAGGGACTAAGGTCTCTGCTCCATCAGAGATAAACAGCGCCCTCTGTTGGATCAGTCGCACCGATGCACAAACCATGTGATGACAGCTCCAAGCTTAAATGCCACATGGTGTGAAATCACCAAGCTGATCCAGCACCTCTTGCACACCTGCACGTCTCCTTGCACTCCAGTGTTTACCCTTTCCATTGCCCCCCTTTCCATTCCACCATCCAATTCTTGACCATTCCTTCTTGCAAGGTTTCAAACTCTACTTGACCCACTTATTCTTCCTGTCAAACTCTACATGTCTCTTCCAGTCCCATCTGGCCTGCACCCACAAATCCCCCAAGGTTGAACTTCAGTCTCTCCTCTTGCTCTGCCTCTAAACAAGCACCATCACTCCAGCCCTCCCCCAGTGCCTTTTGACCTCCACTTGCAGATGCTAAAAGGCAGACTTCTGTCTTTCCTCAACGCTCTGCCCCCTTGCTGGCTCATTCACTCCCTGCACAATTGATGCTGATGAATCTCCCTACTACTGAAATGCTGAAATCTGTGACATCATCCCACTCTACCTATCAGAAGTCTGCCTTACCACATTACTGATTCTGTTCACCTGCTCTATGTATCATATGACCTAGTTAGGACGGTTTATAAGCCCAGGCTTTTAGCGTTAAACTTTGTGAGGTATTGCTTCTGTTTAGATCTACTGAGTGTTCTTTTCCTAGTGTTTGTATCCGACTCCGGCTCTGATCTTCTGCACCGTTCTTGACTTTGCCTTTTTACCTCCTCCCTATTGGAATTGTTTGCCAGATCTTGTTTGTTATGTTCATCTATTTTTGTATTTTGTCTCTATTGTTTTTGACCCTTGCCTGTTTTCTGCTGATGACTCTGGATAATGGACTGACTAGTAAAGCTTCTTTTACTCTTTTTATCTGCAAGCATCTGACTGATTATGTCACGTTACACAATCCTATTCCAACAACATTTTTAAAAAGAATTATTTGACAGCCTCTGTTTCAAAGTATTAGACATTATAAAATGTAGCTTAATATCCTTTGTGGAAGGTGGATGGAGGAAAACAAAAGTGTAACTGGGTGTCATCAGCATAGCAGTAGAAAGAGAAGCCGTGTGAGAACAGAAGTGGCCCAAGAACTGAACCCTGAGGGACTCCATCAGTGAGGCATGTATGCGGACTGCTTTGTGTGAGGATGGAGGATGGACTCACAAAAGAGTCAAATAACCCAGGCCTGAAATATGTTTGAGAAATGATGTCTGAAGCTGGAAAATACCTTCAGAAACGAATTTAGAAATTGCATTTACATTTACAGAAATGTGATGCAGGTGTTGCCATGTGCAGCTGACTCCAAGCATTTTCATAACATACTTCCAAATGTTTATACTTTCATTTTACAAAAAACATTCTCTCACCATGGGTTGCTGTTTCCATTGTTGAGTAAAGAGTTTCCGATGCGTATCTCAGCTCCGTTGATCCTCTCTGGACAGCAGTCTCCTCTGTTAGTGATGGTGACAGAGGTCACTGTGTACTCGTCCAGGAGGTCCACCCTCCACCAGGGGTTCTGCTGTGCCTTAGTGGAAGTGCATGACCCGTGGTCATAGTTGGAGTCGGTATTTCCATCTATAGCGTTGTAGGCATGACCATATGGAGCCCAGGGGTTATTAATCAAGGTTGACTGTGCGGCTTTTCCATAGAGAGCGAGGTTTTTGGCTGGAACAAACAGAGAAATGCAGAGTTTCAGTCAATGTACATCAACACCAAAAGCATGATTCTGAGGTCTATGGAGGTGGAGATGTTTACCACTGTGTTTCATCACCACTTCTTTTAACAACACTCTGTAAGTGTTTAGGAACTGAGGAGACCAATTGCTTTAGTTTTGAAAGAGAAATGTTTTTCCCGTTCTTGCATGATATAAGATTTCAGCTGCTCAACAGTTCGGGGTCTCCTTTGTCGTATTTTTCATTTCATAATGTGCCAAATGTTATCAGGTCTGGACTGCAGGCAGGTCAGTTTAGTACCTTGACTCTTTTACTAAAGAGCAATGCTGCTGTAATATGTGCAGAATGTGGTTTGACATTGTCTTGCTGAAATAAGCAAGGCCTTCCCTGAAAAAGACGTCATCTGGATGGCAGCAAATCGCTGCTGTCGGAAGAAAACCTTGTATCTCCATTTTTGTTGTTTTTCTGTTTTTGACATAATTTGAAAAGCCTGTTGCTCTTTACATTGTGCATAAATTTCATGATGAATGGACCAAAAGAAACAGCCCAGTATGACTTTGGGGGAAAAAAAGTCTGGTTCCATTGACTTACAATAAAAGTAAAGTGTGTTTTTTTCCTTCTCCTGTAAAGTTACCATTTTGGAGATACAAGGTTTTCATCCAACAACAGCGGTATGTTGCCCCTAAACCTGCCTATAGTTCAGCATTAATGGAACCTTTACAGATCTGCGAGTCACCCATAGCATGTGCACTAATGCCCACCCAAACCATCACAGACGCTGGCTTTTGAACTGTGTGCTGATAATGAGCTGGATGGTCCCTCTCCTCTTTAGCCCAGAGGGTGCAGCGTCGATAACATTTGTTTTTAATACAGTGTCGTCTGAGGGCGCGAAGATCACAGCCAGCCAATACTGTATTTTGGCCTTGTACTCTGCAGAGATTTCTTTTAATGATATTATGTACCTTAAATGATGAAATCCTCATTCGTTTTACTGACCTGTTGCCAATTAACTTTACCTGTTTTGTTGCCCTGTCCTAACAGCTTTGAAAAGTGCTGCTAGCATCAAATTCAAAATGGACATATCTTTTTCAAAAACCATAATATTTCTCATTTTCAGCATTTGATATGATGTGATTTTGTTTTTGTTTTTATTTCATTTTATTTGCCCAACATCTCAACTATTTTGGAAACAGGGTTGTATTTTCAATTTTATATATATTTCTGAAATATAACTGTTCCTGCAAGGATTCTATAAATGTGCACATGCAAAACTGAGCTAAAGTTTGGCATCACTTGCTGTTGCTATTTTATATCCAGTATTAACTTATCCAGTGCAGACTTATACCAGGGGATTCCCCTCCATGCCTCCAGGGGTCACTCTCACCCCAATACTAAAGTCACCTGTACTCACCTGTAACCGTTTGTGCTAATCAGTGGGCTTTACGTGGGCAAAATTTTTAGTCTCTCATTGTAATGTCTTGTGTGTTCTTTCTCACTGCAAGTCATACACTCTTAAAAAGATGGTTCCTCAAGGGCTCTTTACTAAAGCAAATGGATCTAGAACCATGATTTCTTTATAGTGCAGTTTCACTCTTAAATGGTTCTTTTCATGGTTCTTCAGATTGATGGAGAATGTGTTGTAGGTGGTTCTATGTAGCACCAAAAAAGGGTTCTTCTATTGTTATGATGTCAAGTTTGTAAAAATAGTAGCACTGTTTTTGGTGCCATTTAGGACCATATAGAACACATTCTCCATCAATCTGAAGAACCATTTCATCTTATAATCATGGAATGCTTCTAAATAGAACTCATGGTTCTAAATAGAACAATTCTTTTTACTAAATAAACATTGAAGAACCACCTTTTTTAGCTGTTCTCAGTTAAGTCCCTGTCTTATTTTTCGGCCGTTCAATCTCAGACTGTTTTTTGGATTTTTGGCTCAGATTTTGTTTTTCTCTCTTTCTCTTTTGTACTGATCTGCTTCAGCCTCCTCATTAAACCTGCAATGACTAGTGAGTTTGTCAGTTTGTTACAGAACTCGACATCAAAAGTATTGTAGATGTTTTATTTAACCTTTCAAGGATTTTGAGTTATTATAAGATGCATAAACTGTATTCTGTAATTGTGTCCATTTACATGCAATAATGCAGATATCTGATTATTCAAATGGTCATGTAAACAGCACACTCTGATTTCTTAGGTCGGAGCAAGGTCTAGAAATCTGATGAAGAAATCTGATAAAGAGGCTGGGTTTTAGCTCAGTAATCAGATTTCTCAGTGCTGTAAACTCTTACTCTGATTTCTTTCAGATTTCTCAGTCTGAGCATGTGTGAAAACAGATGGTGGTACCGGAAATAAGTGAGCAGCATCGCTGCGAGAATCCAACTATATGGTTGACGAAATGAAGGATTTAAATATTCTCCATCTTCTAGATGATGTATGTTCATATTTTCAATATGCGGCATGAAGTTTGAGTTTTATGTTAACATTTACATCACATCTTTGTCTGTGAGTTTATTGGCTGGTTGTAAAGCAGAAATCTGATTATTGTCTGACTCATGTAGACCTGGAGTTTCCCCATTATCTGATTACTGAAGTGCATGTAAACACGTTGATCAGATTACCGACAAAATCTGATTTTCTGCAGTTATCGGATTAAATGCATGTAAACACACTCAATGTCTTAATCAAACTCAAGATCTGATCGGTTCTTTTCAAAAAACCAACATTCTGGATGTTACATTTATTATTACTTAATTCTAGATGTGCTTATGATGTAAATACTGACAAATATATTGTTTTGTTTTTCATACTTGCGTGTAATTTTCTGTGAAATAGCTAATGTGGTTCTTTGCATGGTGTAATGGTTCTTCAGATTGATGGAGAATATGCTGTATATGGTTCTATAAAGCACCTTCTATTGTGACAACAAAAGAAGAACCCTTTCTGGTGCTATATAGAACCATACACAGCACATTCTCCATCAACCTGAAGAACCATTCAAGCTTTAAGCTTAAGCAAGAATGTTCATGGTTCTATATGAATGAAGCTGTATTATGTTTTTTCTTCTACTGACGCTGTCCTGATTTAATTATATATACATTTTAATCATTTTTACTGGAAATTAAATCAGTGGTAAACAGTTATCTGAGCTGGTGTGTTCAACAGGACCATAAATTAAGTTTTACCTCTTAATAAAAACATTTCTTCTGTGTTCATTAGGTTTTTCTAGAACTGTATTCAAAATGAATCTTAAAATAGAATAAACATCCATAAATATGTACCGATGATATGTACCTTTCGCAGATGATCCATCAGTGAAACCAGCTGCTGTAATCACTCCCAGCAGGTAGAATATGTGGAGCTCCATTGTTCCTAAAAAAATCAAGTAAGTACAGTAATAATAAACTAATAAATAATAACATTTTTTTAAAGAATAAAATAATAAACTGCCTTAATTATTTCAGACTATTAAGCACAATATTTTCATACAATGGCATCAAGAATTAGAAAGGAACTCACCAATAACAGTTAAACTGCTTCAAAGATGCTGCCAGTTTCACTGAAGCCTGCTTTATATCAGGCTGAGTGTTATGTAAGGCTTAAAGGGAAATTCCACCAAATTTTCAACATCAGGCAGTGAATTCATAACCATTTCATGTAGGAACTTTCTGTGAGGGAGCTTTTAGAGGTGGACGTCTGGTTCCTATCACCACCACTGTGAACAGTTCTGACTCGGTAAGTTTATCTAGAACAGAGCGTTTCACACCAAACCACTCTGAACCACTCTGATTACCTGATCTTAACCTCTTAATTATGCGTAAATGTTGGAAAATCTGTGGAGTTCCCCCTCAACATTTTTTGTTATGCCTGGTCTTGTCATAGTATTATATAAGCATGGAATCTCCTTTATCAGCAAATGCTGTGCCAGATTATATAAACCTGATGCAGCTGTTCATGGTACAGATCCACTGTGAAAGGACAGACTTTCATAACAACAGGACAATAAAGAATATTTTAAACACTATATTCATATGAAATTACCTATTTTGAATTGAATCATATTAATATAAATATATTAAACATGGTAAAGTACACATTTTTGCATATTTATCTACTGACAAACTTTTGGTAAGCGATTTATATACACGCCAATATGAATACTGTAATTGCAAATATTTAAGTCCTTAATAAAGAGAAGATTTAATTGGATGCAAACAAAATGCATTATTTACCCAAGAGAGAAATAATCAACCAACAAGAAATACAGAAGGTTATGCACAATGGTGAAGATGTGTTAACAGTCATTAAAATAACAGCACCTTTTAAAGCCATTGAAGCAGTTTGAATCAGAACACAGCTGATACAGTACCAGGTTAACCAATGAGAATCAAATCATTAGATTTATAACAGACCATGTAGTAAAGTAGCATCAAGTCAAATAAAGATCATGACAATCAGGGCAGCCTCCCATTTGGAGAGAGACCACAACTGAATTGAATTCAGAGGCCAGCACAGAGTAATTCTGACATCTTATACATAATAATGACATTTTGTACATCTTCTATCCATATATCGTATAATCTGGAATATATATATATATATATATATATATATATATATATATATATATATATGTATATATATATCACCACCACTGTGAAACTGTGTGACTCTGTAAGTTTCTCTAGAACAGAGCGTTTCACACCAAACCACTCTGAACCACTCTGATTACCTGATCTTAACCTCTTAATTATGCGTAAATGTTGGAAAATCTGTGGAGTTCCCCCTCAACATTTTTTGTTATGCCTGGTCTTGTCATAGTATTATATAAGCATGGAATCTCCTTTATCAGCAAATGCTGTGCCAGATTATATAAACCTGATGCAGCTGTTCATGGTACAGATCCACTATGAAAGGACAGACTTTCACAACAACAGGACAATAAAGAATATTTTAAACACTATATTCATATGAAATTACCTATTTTGAATTGAATCATATTAATATAAATATATTAAACATGGTAAAGTTACACATTTTTGCATATTTATCTACTGACAAACTTTTGGTAAGCGATTTATATACACGCCAATATGAATACTGTAATTGCAAATATTTAAGTCCTTAATAAAGAGAAGATTTAATTGGATGCAAACAAAATGCATTATTTACCCAAGAGAGAAATAATCAACCAACAAGAAATACAGAAGGTTATGCACAATGGTGAAGATGTGTTAACAGTCATTAAAATAACAGCACCTTTTAAAGCCATTGAAGCAGTTTGAATCAGAACACAGCTGATACAGTACCAGGTTAACCAATGAGAATCAAATCATTAGATTTATAACAGACCATGTAGTAAAGTAGCATCAAGTCAAATAAAGATCATGACAATCAGGGCAGCCTCCCATTTGGAGAGAGACCACAACTGAATTGAATTCAGAGGCCAGCACAGAGTAATTCTGACATCTTATACATAATAATGACATTTTGTACATCTTCTATCCATATATCGTATAATCTGGAATATATATAAAATATATATATATATATATATATATATATATATATATATATATATATATATATATATATATATATATCTCCAAATGGTAACTTCATATCTCCAAAATGGTCACTTTACAGGAGAAGGAAAAAACTTTACTTTTAATGTAAGTCAATGGAACCAGACATTTTTTCAAGTAATTTTGGGTCGTTTCTTTTGATCCATTCTTCCTGAAATTTACACACAATATAAAGGCCAACAGGCATTTTCAAATTGTGTCAAACCTGAAAAATGACAAAAATGCAGATACAAGGTTTTCTTCCGACCACAGCAAGATACATATATATAAATATATATATATATATATATATATATATATATATATAGTGTGTTTGTTTTTTTCTTATATACTTTTTTATATCTAAGCACTACAAGGGGCTGTGCATCTAAGATTTTCACTCACCATCACACCTAAATGTGATGTGGCAATGAACGTGAATGTGACTTGGTAACTGTAAACCTCAAACTACTAAATAAACCCAACTGTCAAGATCACCACAGTAATCTGTGACACCACCACATAAGGGGACCTGTGGAGTACCTATTTTTAATGATCAACACTAACATAGATTTCAGGTAGTGTTATTTAGGTTACCCCACAGAAAATAAAGTCTCTAATTTCCTTTATGACTTATCACTGGGATGGTCTGATAGAAGTTGTGGCCTCATCTTATGTCTGGTATTTTTATTATGTCTTCCATATTTTTTGTTTGAAAATGTTTCCTGGGCATTCCAACGGGGACTCTTATTTTGAATATAAACCCTGGTTTGGGAACAGGAAAGGGAAGTGTGGCAGCCATTTTCTTGGAGGATCAAGTTTGGGGAAGACAGGCCTGGTGGAGCCTTGCTGTTCAAGCCCTAACTAACTTTTACTCCTTTTTTTTTTTTTTACTCATCTTTGTCCTTGAAGAGTGGATCCCTCTCTAACTGTGGAGTTACCTCAAGGAACTGGGTGAGCTCATTCCTGTTTTTTGTGCATTGCTGGGCCCTTTTTTGATTTTTGATTGTTGGGTATTTTTGGGACACTGTTTGCTTGGACTATGGTGGCAGTTGGACATTTTTTAGATGACTTTTTTTTTGGATTCAATAGAGACAATCTTTAATAACTCTATCCCATCTAATGGACTTCTGCTTCAGATCTTATATTCTACTGCTTCTCTGCTTGTTTGCTGGTGCTGTTGCTGTTGCAGATGCTGTTAGTGTTGTCTGTTCTGGGGAATAAGAATAAGTAAAAGCTAACTTGTGCAAGCTCTGTTGTGTTCTGGTGCTCACGTTTTTTTTTCTCTCACCAAATTAGTGATCGGATTTTATTAGTAACTGCTGAGTTGATCAGATTGTTACAAATCAACATAACATAAACAACGCTGCAAAGTAAGACAAAGCCTAATAAAATTATACTCAAATATCCAAATATAGTATCAGCTTTCATTGCTATGGGAAATGGTCGGTGAGGTCAGTCCTGTACCCTCAGATATGCACATCAATGTCCTTTCAGAGATAAAGATGTGACCATTTGCTGCTTCCAGGGCTGTAAATTTAGCCCATGAAAGTTTTTATTACATATTCCAGTGACCCCTTCAATCACTGCCCAACTATATGACTTAAATTTCATTTTAATCCAAATTCTATTTAATTTCTGTCAGGGTACAGTCATGGCCAACAACCACCAGAGAAATAAAACTGATCCAGCATCACACTGTAATCATGAAGGCCAAGAGGTTCTTCAGATCAGAGGAACTCCGTAAACCTCCACCTCACACAGAGCGAGATACTCGTTCCTTCCTGGAATCACAATGTTGACGTACTGGCCCTCCATCTCGTTACATTCATAGGACTTGGTAGGATCTCCAGTGACGGAGTTGATCACTGCACAACTGATGAGACAGAAGGTGAGAAATTATTACAATAAACATTTCGTAATGGTAAAATTGACTGGGAAGATTGTACATTTCAACTATTATTTATACGTAAATGCACATCTAAAGTGGCTTTTATTGAAAATTCATTCTTTTTGTAGCTTAAACCTGAAGAGAGTTTACATAGGGTTGTTGTTGCCGTTGTTGTCCAGAGTGTCTCCAATCCTGATTTCAGCTCCAAGCAGCCTTTCAGGAGAGCCATCCTGCCTGTTAGTGATGATGACGGAAAACACTTTGTGTCGTTTCAGCAGGTCCAGCTTCCACCAAGGACTATAGTCATAGTTAACCATGGAGCAGGAACCGCGAGACGGTATACCATCTCGGTTTCCATCAACAGCATTAGATGCAAAATAATATGAATAAAGGCTGGACTGTGTAGCTGTTCCTTCCGGTGCTACATTCTCTCCTGCACAGGAAACAGTCAAAGAGTCGGTTAGAGTAAATGAAGCATGCATTCTGATGATCAGTGATTTGTGTAAGTCATCCTTTGAATTTGAAAAATACACTTCACTTCGTCAGAAACCCCTCTCTTGTAGGTCCACCTTGCTGGTGTACAGTTAGATACTCTGTCTGTTGACACACAGTTCATGTTAGTCATCCTTGAGCCCACAGGCTCCCAACCCTGATGCTGGAGTACCTCCTGCCCTGCAGTCAGTTGCACCAGCTGAACGTAAGTTCGATCATAAGTTGGGGTGTAAAGTCCATCCTAAACCTCATGCTGAGAGTAGTTGGTTTAAACTAGCGACACACAGAATTTCGGTCGCACCACAGACACTTATGGTATGTCTTAACTAGTAGAGCGTAAAGTGATCGTAGATCAAAACACGGTGGCACAGAATGACGTTTTCACTCTGCAGCCGATCAGTAACGCTACCCGACATAAACAGGAAGCATTGCACGCAGTAAAATCGCTCGCATTTCTTTTTGTGGTACATTTACTTGGCTTAAGGAAGGTCAGTCATACTAGCTACAATTCAAAAAGAGACTGTGTCTTCAAAGCGTCCGTCCCTTGTATGTGTGTTTATTCTATTCTGCTGGAATTTTTTCGATGTTCAAACTGGGCTCTCATGCACAATTCATCGTCTCACACAGCCTGAGCACTGATGGAGCTGATCTTATTACTCTGAATGCAGTTGGCTTGTGTACTTGAACAGTCGGCCACCAGGTTTTGGAACGACCCTATAGAAAAATATCTCAGTGTCAGACACAAAGCAGGACCCAGGGCTCTGTTCCTGTGTTGTAAATCTGTAGCAGGAGGTCTGTGATCTTTTCCACCGAAAATGGGTCTAATCTATCTTGCAGAACAGGTTGCCGACACAAATCGAGATGTATTTGGTTCGACCAACCATTATAACTGATTTTTTATGGCAGAACTTACACCGACTATAGGATATGTGTAAATTTTAAGCTATAACTTAAAGCTACATTGAAACTACGTTACTTGGTGCAACCGGTTAAATTCTAGTAGCTCTAGTGCCACTACATTCAAGTTTATGTTCGAACTAGGCTACGAACTTACTTACGTCTAGCTGCTGCAACTGGCTGCTGCACCTTTTAGTGTTTTTCTGTTCTAAAACACCCAGTTTAACTCAGAAAAGGCTTGATAAATAACTGCCTAGTTAGACTTGTTCTGTGAGTTCGGTACGTTTGGTCGAGTGCAAAAGCTGTTTTGGAGTTTGGGAGTTGAACAGAGAACCGATCTCTGGTCTACTTGAAATTACTGGTCTGGGGTCTGCGGCCCGCTACACGTGCGGAAGCTATCCGCTCCTGGCACCACGTGTGGATTGTTTTATTTGTAATGTGACTGCTTAAACGTATCGTGTTACTTCCCTTTTCAAGTTTTGTGATGGCGGGGAGAGGACTGCTGCGGATGGCGGAGGAGACGAAACAGCTCATAGTGTTTGCATTCAAAGAAAATAATAAAAAGGAGCAAACAGATGAAGCTGTGCTGACCATTCTGCAAACCTGTCCTGGGTACAGATTCAAGTGGACTCAAGTATTCGGGACACAAGTCAAAACACCCTAAACTGTGCAGGGCAGGGGGCTCCTGCTCCACTTTGGCTCCACCCACTCTATCACATGCATTTATACATCTGCACACATTTGTTTAGCGCCACTATTTGTAAAATCTTGCCATTTTTCAGCGCTTCTTGGTTATAGTATTTTAGACCCTTGCTTTGTGTTCTTAGTTTTTGATTATCAGTTTGCCTCGTCACTTCCTACACTTGTAAAAAAAAAACACTAACACCACTGTGTCCGACAGACTCATACCAGCACCATGTCGGTGTCATGGTCTCAAAAGCTTTAGCAGATTTCTACTGAATGCAAATGAATGCACTGCTGCTTTGCATTTAGCCAACTGAGCAAATACAACTTTCTCTGAAAGTAGGTTTCTTGTTGCTGAATCCCAGTTTAACATAATACTGAAAATATCAGTTTTTTTACAGAATTGGTGACAGTGAAGATTTTGAAGGAAGATATTTGATTGAAAATGTACATGATTTGAGTGGGAAAGCAAAATTTAAATCATACAGAGCTTGTCAGTACTGTCATTACAAGCATCAGTTCTCCTTCTGCACTGACAGACTGCTGAGAGAGTTCTGTGATCTAGAACTGAGCTGTAAAAGAAAATGATGAGATCTCACACTTTTCTCATGGAGATATTGTTCTGCTGAGACTGGGCTGAGACGAATCAGACCCTAAAAAGTCAATCCACATGTGTGACAACATTTTGACCAAAGTAAGAAAATCTGAGGTTTATTTCTCAGGAGCCGAATTTCAGAAGCAGGAGAAAACGGCTTCAGTCTCAGTCTGATTTCAAACTGGACTGAACTGTGTCCAGGAGAAGAACCTGAGATCAAGAGGAGATCTTATTTAGAATACTGCTCCCCTCTCGGACTTGCTGTTACCAAAACTACACTGAGCTAACTCAAATTTCACAGTGACGGGTTTCCCTCTTGGCAGTTCTGAAAGTAGCGTGAGTAATTTGATTAGAACGAGATTAGTACTTGAACTACTGTATTGGTTTGAATGAGTCAGCAGGTACACTTGTTCTGACAGTATTAAGTGTTATGGGTCATTCTACAGAAATGTCCACTTTTCTATCTCTCCATAGGTGTCACGTGTCACTGGTGTTACTGATCCTCATTGGTGTTCCACATAATAAAGGAACACCAGAGACATTTTAATGAAAAATGCATTTTACTAAACAGCTGCTACAGAGCATCAAACCACATGTTGTCAATCATGGAATATCCACTAAAATATGGAATTTAATCCATTTGTGTTCTATTTTCTCACAATTACCTCAGAATAAAGTCGGTCACACCAGTGACTTCAGCTAAAAGCTTCATATGAAATCATGAGCTAAATGAGAAAATCTCTGCTAACTGAAACACACAGTGGACTCACCATGAGCTTTTCTTCATAGATGCTCAGAAAACAGGTAAAAGGAAGTCGAGTGATGTCATCAGTGTGACTTTTATTTCAAAATAAGAGTTTTTTGTTACGCAGTAACACCAGTGACACGACTCCTGGGGACCTTCATTATATATTTTATAATATTTCTTTGGCATTTGTTTTCTTTATGTAATTTAAATCCTATATTTCATAGTCATGTATAGATTATTGTAGTTAAAATTGCAGAAAAATGTGTTTTTTTTTTCTTCAAAATATGGCCTCAGCCTTCACACATGACTGTGAGGACATGCTCTTCTGTGGTGCTTGGAATTTAAAAACCAATATTGCTGAATTGAGGCTCAAGAATTTGTAATTGTTAAAATAACGTATTGTTTTATTTTTAAATATAAATAAATTGTAACTCTAACATGTTTTTCAAGTGTAATATATCTGTAAACGCTAAGGACACAAAAATGGACGTTTCTGAAGAATGACCCTTATAAGTACAGTGCAAGTCGTCCCTTCTCACCATGTGGAGTAGGGTAGCCGTAGACCTCGACTTCACAGAGAGTCAGAAGATGGTTATCTCCAGGAAGGAACACGTTAACATAACGACCTGGGATGCCTCTCTCAAATTTAAAGTTTTTGGAAATACCTGCAGGGATGCCAGAGATCACCCCAGCCCTGGAGAGAAAAGAAAACAGCACAAGAGAGTCAGTGTACACATGAAACAGTTTGGAAAACTGAAACTGGCAACACTGTACTAAAACGTCTACCATGTCACTGTCATTACTGTCTATAATTCATTATTAGATAAACGACTTTTTAGACATTTTCTTAATGTGAATTCTTATATAAAGCAAACAGTGGAGGAACATCTTGAGACAAGGATTTAGAAATGTAATGTTTTTTCCATGCAAAGCTGACTCAGACAGTCAGTTCCCTCACAGTGAGTTGCTGTTTCCGTTGTCGAGTAAAGAGTTTCCGATGTGTATCTCAGCTCCATTGATCCTCTCTGGACAGCAGTCTCCTCTGTTAGTGATGGTGATGGAGGTCACTGTGTACTCGTCCAGAAGGTCCACCCTCCACCAGGGGTTTTGTTGCATCTCGGTGGCAGTGCACGACCCGTGGCTATAGTTTGAATCAATATTTCCATCTATAGCGTTGTAGGCATGACCGAATGCTGCATAGGGGTTATTAACCAAGGATGACTGTGTGGCTTTTCCATAGAGAGCGAGGTTTTTGGCTGGAATGAACAAAGCAGTGCAGATGTGTTCAGTTGTACATCAACCCAATAATTCTGCTTTAATATTTCAGGTTACTTTCCATAAATTAGTTTATTTTTTTATGATCTATTATACTTGAATTTGTTTGTGAACCTTATTCACTAATTCATAAATGTTTTCTATAGTTATTTTCATTTCTTTGTAATGTGTGACTGTTCCTGGAGGGAATCAAAAACTATTGCTGGACTTCCCAGCAGGCCAACCCTCTTACTGAGTGACTGACTGATCAGCATTGTTAAAATGTGCTCACCTGAGAAAAGCACTAGGTGGCGCTATATACCATTAAATGCCACACCTTTCCAACACTAATGCCAATATAACAAATAAATACAGCTAAAAATGATTAGAGGAGAGAAAAAATGCATCCATGGGTCTCGCGATTATGAAAACCTAATGAGTGGTGAAATAACACAGCAGTGAGTGGTTCGAGTTTAAACTGTGTGACTTTAGTTGGAATTTTTCCTGGATCAGAGAATTTCTAGTGAACCGTAAACTGGCACATGTATAAGGAAGGTTACCTGATTTACTTCAACACTTATTGAACATTTTGCCTATTATTATTCTTATTCGAATTATTATTATTGTTCTTATTATTATATGCAGTCATGTCATGCTGTAAGGCCAATAAATGTAACTGTATAATCATTTTAAAATAAGCAATAATATTAAGATATTTTTAATAAATCTATAAACAATTCCTCCACCCAAATGTGAAAAAACAGCACACATATTTTAAAATAGTAAATATTTATATTTTTATTATACTTGAGGTGTTGTGAGGTACTATGCCGGATGATGAACAGTCTTGATTACATAAAGTTGTAGCCTACAAAAATAAAATGTATGTGCTAAACAACTAAGTAGGCTGGTTCAAATGGAACAATACTTTTGATTTTGCAACTTAAATTGCAATTGTTAATTGGGGTTCATGAACAATTTGTTGACTGCCTACCCTGGGCATAGTACAAGGAACTGTGCTGTGGAATTATGGTGTTTTGTGCCTTGTTTATATTGGAATATAGTATGTTTGTGTCCATATGTATGTAAACATGATGCGTACCTTTCATAGATGCATCAGTGAAAGCAGCCACTGTAAAAACTGCCAGCAGGTAAAACGTGTGAAGGTTCATTTTCTGGGGGAGGGAGGAAATTCAGTACATTAACTTTTTACGTGTTTTGTTATTGTTCGGTTGCACTAAAGTGAATCGTGCAGGCCGCTCCATAAGTTGTACAGGCATGAAACTTGGGTAGTCGTCCTTCCTGCTACTCAGGTGCACAAGCTTGATCTGCCAGATGGGAGCGCTACAGCAAAGCTTCAAACTTTTTGGGTCAAAATTCTCCTCATTAGTTGTCTTACGGCCCACAAAAAGCCAAAAGTAGCATGTAGCTCCACCCCCTAAGATTTTGACATTATTTGCATTTTGTGCAAAATCGCACACACTTTTGAGTGCAAACTAATCCCAGTCTGCACAAATCTGGTCTCAAAGAGGTCAAAACCTGAAATTTAATCATTATCAAAAAAAAAGGAATTTCCAAACAGCATACTGGCCACTCCCAAAAATATGGGTGGAGCTCATATTGCTAAAATCATGCATATACAGCCTAACTCAGAAATGCTTTGGCCAATTGTTATGAAACCTCACAGGCATGTACCCTAGGGGAGTTGAAAGCAGTCTTCAAAGTTTGGTGGAACTGCATTGCTAGGTGGCACTACAACAAGCAAAAAGTGTTGTGCACCTGAAGATTTTGCAATTGTTGTGAAAATTTGCTGCTACCGTGTGCTGTCCTAGTTAAGGATCATTGAGGCTCAAGTCATATTCAAAAACCATGGCTGCTATCAGCCAGGTATTCGAGTCAGCCAATCACCATAAAACTTGGTATACCTGCTCAATGCCTACTGTTGAAATAACTTGCAAAGTTTGGTTGACACAGGTTAATAGGGGACACTAAAACATTACTTTAGTCTCATGTCATTTGTTTGAAAACATGCTTGGACCCCTGAATTGCCGCTTGTAGGTATTGTATTTTGCGTAAAACTTTAACTGTGCAATGACGTAAAATCAAAAATCAGCTTAATCTTTGTTTCTTTATAGCACTCATAGACAGGTACTCTCTCAGTTCTCTCTTTCCAAATGGGTTCCCACTGTGAAGTCTAGAAATCACATTTTTCTGTAAGAACTAAAAAAAAATGAAAAATTAAGCTGTTTGTTCTAATAACTAATACTGCAATTCCACGTGGTCAGACAGATAAAGACAAAATCAGCATTTCCCAACCCAATGGCTAGGCAAACAGAAAAAAAACAAATTTATATTTTTGGCCACCAGATGTCACATTAGCCCTCATCCAACTACCAGTAAAGGTGTCTATCAAATGATCACTGTCTGATTTAACTGTTTGATCTCTGGCTTTGACTCTGCAGAGTCTTGAGCTGTTGTGAAAGATTCTCACCCAGTGTACAATTACCTTTAAAGAAATAAAACTTTACTGGTACTCACTCAGCTGTGTTCCCAGAGAGCCTCAGTCTTCAAGATCTTTTGGCTCCCCTTCGTGTGAAACACCAAAGTGAGAATGCAAGTGCGCTGTGCACACGCTGAAGGCCCTTTTATACAGCTACATGAGGAAATCTGACTGAACATTCCATTCAGGCCTCAGTTTAGCAAAGGATTTTAGGGGCTTTTACTGAGAGTCCTAAAACCGCAATTTCCTCATTCCTGCGGCCGAACACCAGCTCCATCACTTTTGCTTTCTCTTGAAGTTTCAATCATCCAGTGTTTTCACATATCCTTCTATATGCTTTAATTGTCATTCCCAAAATAAATGGCCAAGGCTGTTAGTGAGCAAGGTACTGGGCACTCTGGTCTCCATTTTACCTCTGCTGGACCCAGACTTGAAGATCTAGATCTAACTTTGAATTTCCATTCTTGCTGGATTAAGGATTCAATCCCAATGTCATCACGTGATGATGCTCATTTCCCAAGACATGCAGACTGACTCTAATCAGTTACCTTCATGGTGTGCTGTGAGAATCTCGTTTTTCTCTAGGCATAGTCATTGAGATAAGGGGAGGAAAGAGGCAGACACATATTTGACAAGTTTATTTGCAAAAAACAAACACCTAAAAAACAGGCTACCTGTAGTGGTTTATTCATAACATATAGCACTTTCTGAACCTTGAAATATGTTTGTCACAAAAGCCTTTATTGTCCAAAGGAAATGCAAGTTCACGTCTTACAGCAGAAACAGTCAAATACCAGCGCTGTTCAACAGCAGAACCCAATAAATGTTCAGTGCAGAGTATTCGGGTCATTTGGCATAACACTGTTTTAGGCAAAATAAAGACAGAATCAGGACCAGAAATGGAGTCAATATGAGAGACAGAGTCAGGATGACACACAGAGTCAGGACAAAAGATAGAGTCAGGATAAGAGACGATCAGGACCAGAGGCTGAGTCAGGGTCAGCAACAGAAGTCAGGACTAGAGATGGAGTCAGGACCAGAGACAAAGTCAGGGCAGAGACAGAGTCAGGATGAGACAGAGTCAGGGTCAGAATCAGGGTCAGGATTAAAATTAAGTTTAGGGATGTTTGCACTTGCGCTGCTTTAAGCTAAACTGTTCACAAATGGTTGTTGTTCAAAACACAGTTTACATTTTCATGTGTAGCAGTGATGTCATTCTTTTATTCTATATTTAAAAAAATGAAATAGTTATTAAAAATATGTAGAGGTTGAAATCAGGAACAAGATCAGCACAGAGAGTTAACGAAGTGATAGAAACTGAATCACTGTAGGAATTTGCTCTGGGGCATGGCACAAAACAGGAATGCAGAAACAGGGAACCAGTGTCTAGTAACAAAGCAAGGAAGTTTAAAAACAACTCAAAGTCGCAGCTAAAACAAACATCCCTCTCATGGGCAAAGAAGTATCACACGCTATGTTACAAAAACACAAAGAAACATAGACCAAAGTCAGGCTTAGAGACAGAGTGATGATGAGAGATGGTGTCAGGACCAGAGACAGAGTTAAGGTCAGAGACATAGCCAGGACAAGAGCTGGAGTCAGGACCAGAATCTGAGTCAGGGCCAGAGACAGTCAGGTCCACAAGACAAAAGTAGGACCAGAGGCAGAGTCAGGACCAGAGATAGTCAGGATGAGAGACAGAGTCAGGTCAGAGACAGAGTCAGGGCCAGAGATGAAAATCAGGGTCAGGATTAAAATTAGGGTTAGGGATGTTTGCACTTGCGTTGCTTTGAGCTAAATTGTTCACAAATGGTGGTTGTTTAAAACATGGCTTAAATTTCCATTTGTAGCAGTGATGTGTAATTTACTTTAATAAAAAAAATTAAATATTATTAAAAATATATGGAGGTTAGAATCAGGAACAAGATCAGGTGACAGAAACTGAATCACTGTAAGAATTTGCTCTGGGACATGGCACAAAACAGGAATGCAGAAATTCAGCTCTCTGAGTTCATTTATGCCTCAAAACAGGGAACCAGTGTCTGGTAAAAAAACAAGGAAATCAAAAAATGAATCAAAGTCGCAGCTAAGACAAACATCCCTGTCATGTGCAAAGATGTATCACATGCTATGTTGCAAAAACACAAAGAAACATAGACCAAAGTCAGGCCTAGAGACAGAGTCACAATGTGAGATGGTGTCTGGACCAGAGACAGAGTCAGGACCAGAGACAGAGTTATTGCCAGAGACAGAGTCAGGACTAAACACAGAGTCAAGCCCAGAGACAGAGTTAGGGCCAGAGACAGAGTCAGGACTAAAGACAGAGTCAAGACCAGAGACAGAGTTAGGGCCAGAGACAGAGTCAGGACTAAAGACAAAGTCAAGACCAGAGACGGAGTCAAAACCTGAGACAGAGTCAAGACCAGAGATGGAGTCAAAACCAGAGACGGAGTCCGGATCAGAGACAGAGTCAGGATGACAGGATGGCGTCTTCTGTCAAATTTATTTTGTAAAGAAAACAGGCTCACACTGATGATGCCATAGACACTAAGAGACGTTGATTGGCTGATGTCTTTTCTTGGACAGTTGTGATTTGGCAAAATCAGGAGGTGCCCACTCGTTCTGTCCAAAACTGTGCCCTCTTCACTATGTAGGGCAATATTATGTGGTTCTGCAATTTTGTAGTGATGTCTGAAAATATAGTGGAGAATATCCAGTGCACTTAAACAATCCCACAATGCACTGCAATAAGTAGTGTACAACCGATGTACCCTAGTGGATAGGGTACACTCATAGTGCACTGTGTTGTTTATAAGCAATGAACAAACCCATTTAACATTTGTAATCTAGACATTTAAAAAAGATGGTTCTCAAAGGTTATCTAGTAAAGAAAATGATGCTGTATGGAACCATGAACACTCAAAGAACCCTTTGCATTAAGGGTTCTTTACATTGTAAAAGGGTTCTTTAGAATGACAGAGAGTGTGTTTTATATGGTTCTATATAGAACCTTTTGGAAAAGGGTTCAATATAACACCAAAATTGGTTCTTGTAGAGAAAGTTATAACTTACCTGATCTGAAGTCCCTCGTGTGTCAACCTCAAAAAGTGCAGTCAGTGTTTATGTTCTACATATATAAAGTGGCAGAAGTTAATAGGACATTCTGCCATGAATACAGACAGAGGGAAGAGCCTGATTTTTGTTCAAATGTACACTCAACTAAAACAATTTTTCAGTGACCAGCTGACCAACTGGTTATTTGCGTCCACCCTCCTCCCTCTGTCTTTCCAGAAAATCTTATTCAAGGCAAAATCACATTCCAAATAAAGGTGAATGTACATTTCTGAGGAACCTGAGGAACAAAGATTGTAATGGTTTGAAACAAAAATAATATTTAATCTTTATGGGTTAATTTTCTTGGTGAAGGACAGACTGACCATCGCACCATATCCTGTTTGGTATTATCCAGTGCAGATTTATCACACATAAGTTACAGACACCTCTAGATATGTACACTCATCCTTGTTTACTAAGAATGGATTTACATGACACTTCTCATAAAAGACAAGAGAAGGTAACATCAAAAAGCAAGGGTGACGGGGGGCACCCTTGTCTTTTCTCTCTAAACATAGGGAAAGGCTAGGTATTATGTGGCTTGTTAGAACAGATGTGTGTGGTGCTGCGTATGAATTCTTAATCCAGAACCTAAAGGTCTAAGCATCTAAGTATACCATGGCTTCTAGACTATCTTTACTGCTAGGTAGATATATCAAACTGGATGAAGAGTTTCCAGTTCCTGTCCTTACTTGCTCAAAGCATTTCTCAAATTGTGCAGGGTCATGAAGGACTGAGGCTGTAAGGTGGTTTTGTTAGCTTTCCCTAGTCCAGTAACATGGCTCTTTTATGGTTTAATGGGACAAACAAAGGTGTACTGTGTACAGAAACTGTGGCATGTGCCCGTCCCCAACAACCGGCAGGAGGGTGGGGCCCAAACCCCGTGGGGACAGTGGGGAGAGGATGAAATCCATGAGGGAGTGGGGGATGGCATGTGAGTCCTGAACCCTGCCTCCAGTGTCCTTCCTGAGCCCAGGATAGCACACGGCGTGCTACAGAAACTTTGTCAACCAATTCACAAACCCCTCTTTCTTAGCCCCAACTTGCATGGGGAGACTGCAGCTCATATGTTGATGCAACCTAGCAGTGACACCGATGTGTAAAAACCCCAGCATCACTCACCAGCACCACAAACACTATCATGTAAGTGTCACTGCTGTGCTGACAGTGAACCACCACCCAAATAACATCTGGACAACAGTGGTGCTGTGGTCAGAAACTGACCAATGCTGAATGGGGTAGAGGGGGTGCTGGCACTAGATGGGCTACAGCCTGAAATTGTACACTTAAATATTGGAGCTATAAGTTAGATGTTTCTAATAAAGTGGCCAGTGAGTGGAAGTTCAAGGTAGGTGTTTCTAATAAAGTGGCCAGTGAGTGGAAGTTCAAGGTAGGTGTTTCTAATAAAGTGGCAAGTGAGTGGAAGTTCAAGGTAGGTGTTTCTAATAAAGTGGCCAGTGAGTGTATGTACTGAAGACTGGCATAAGTGATATTAAGAATTGTAGCTGATGCTCTAACAGACAACTTGTGCGGTTAATAAGCCATTCACAAAGTGCAGAGCTGACAAAATTTATTGACCCAATAGAGAAATAGAAATCAATCAAAGAAAAATAGACTGCGATTACAAAAAGTAGAAAACTAAGCATGTAATCAGAAATGCATGAGGTTATGCACAATGGTGTAGATTGTTTACAATCCCCAAAAATATCAGCAGCAAAAGGCAATCTTTTAAATCCATTCAAGCAGTTTGAAACAAAACCCAGTTGTTACAGTACCAGGTTAACCAATAAGAAACAAATCAATGGGTTTATCACAGACCATGTAGTAAAGTAACATCAAGTCAGACAAGGACCATGATGATCAGGGCGGCCTCACATTTGAGGGGAGAGATCACGGTTGACTTGAATTCAGAGAAAAGCACAGAGTAATAACTGTAAACATTAAACTACTAAATGAACCCAACTGTTAAAATCATAACATAGCATAAACTACGCTGCAAAATAAGACAAAGCCTAATGAAAATATACCCACAGAGCCAAATATAATATCAGCTTTAATTGCTGTGGGAAATGATCGGTCCTGTCCCCTCAGATATGCACATCGGTGTCCTTTCAGAGATGAAGATGTGACCATTTGCTACTTTCAGGGTTGTAAATTTAGCCCATGAAAGTTTTTATTACACATTCCAGTGACCCCTTCAATCACTGCCGACTTAAATTTCATTTTAATCCAAATTCTATTTCATTTCTGTCAGGGTACAGTCATGGCCAACAACCACCAGAGAAATAAAACTGATCAGCCTCACACTGTAATCATGAAGGCCAAGAGGTTCTTCAGATCAGAGGAACTCCGTAAACCTCCACCTCACACAGAGTGAGATACTCGTTCCTTCCTGGGATCACAATGTTGACATACCGTCCATCCATCCCGTTACATTCATAGGACTTGGTAGGATCTCCAGTGACGGAGTTGATCACTGCACAACTGATGAGACAGAAAGTGAGAAATTATTACCATAAATATTTTGTAAAGGTACAACCCCATTTTCAAAAAAGTTGAGACGCTGTGCAGAATGTAAATAAAAATAGATCGCAATGATATGCAAATCATGTAAACCATATTTTTAAAGGAAGATAGTACAACGTATCAAATGTTGAAACTGAGAAATTTTATTGTTTTTTGAAAAATATTTGCCCATTTTGAATTTTATGTCAACAACACGTTCCATAGAAGTTGGGACGGGGGCCTGTTTACCACTGAGTTTCATCACCTCTTCATTTAACAACACTCTGTAAGTGTTTGGGAACTGCAGGCAGGTCAGTTTAGCACGTATTGTATTACAGCGTAGCAATGCTGTTGTAATACATGCAGAATGTGGTTTGAGATTGTCTTGCTGAGGTAATCAAGGCCTTCCCTGAAAAAGACGTCATCTGGATGGCAGCATATGTTGCCAAAACATGAATATATCGTTCAGCATTAATAGTCCCTTCATAGATGTGCACGTCACCCATGCCATGTGCGCTAATTCACCCCTATACCATCATGAATACTGGCTTTTGAACTGTGCACTGATAACAAGCTGAGTGGTCTTCAGCCCGGAGGACACAGTGTCCATGATTTTCAAAAAGAATTTCAAATGTTGATTCGTCGGACCACATGACACTTTTCCACTTCCCCTCAGTCCATTTTAAATGAGCTCAGGCCCAGAGAAGGTGGCAGCATTTCTGGATCCTGTTTATGTTTGTTTTTAGAGTTTTAACCTGCATTTGTGGATGCAGTGATGAACTGATTTCACAGACATTGGTTTTCAGAAGTGTTTCTGAGCCCATGCAGTGATTTCCTCTACAGAATCATGTCTGTTTTTAATGCAGTGCTGTCTGAGGGTCCAAAGATCACAGCCAGTAAATTCTGGTTTTTGGCCTTGTCCCTTAAACACAGAGATTTCTCCAGATTCTCTGAATCTTTTAATGATATTATGTACCATAGATGATGAAAAGCAAAAGTTCTTTGCTATTTTACGTTGAGAAACATTATTCTTGAATTGTTGCACTATTTGCTCATGCTGTCTTTCTCATCTTTACTTCTGAAAGACTCCGCCTCTCTGAGATGCTCTTTTTATAACCAATCATATTACTGACCTGTTGCCAATTAACCACCAGGTGTTTTTTTAGCATTACACAACTTTACCAGTCTTTTGTTGCCCCCGTCCCAAATTTTTTGAACCGTGTTGTTGGTATCAAATTCAAAATGGATATATTTTTCAAAAAACAATAAAATTTCTCGGTTTCAACATTTGGCATGTTGTCTTTGCAGTATTTTACTTTAATATATGGTTTACATGATTTGCACATCATTGCATCCTATTTTTACTTACATTCTGCACAGCGTCCCAACATTTTGGAAATGAGGTCGTAAAACTGACTGGGAAAATTGCACATTTCAACTATTATTTATACATAAATGCATATCTAAAGTGGCTTTTAATGAAAATTCATTCTTTTTGTAGCTTAAACCTGAAGACAGTTTACATTGGGTTGTTGTTGCCGTTGTTGTCCAGAGTGTCTCCAATCCTGATTTCAGCTCCAAGCAGCCTTTCAGGAGCAGCATCTTGCCTGTTGGTGACGATGACGGAAAACACTTTGTGTCGTTTCAGCAGGTCCAGCTTCCACCATGGACTGAGGTCATTGTTAACCATAGAGCAGGAACCGCGAGGCACTATACCATCTCGGTTTCCATCAATAGCATTAGATGCAAAATAATATGAATAAAGGCTGGACTGTGTAGCTGTTCCTTCCAGTGCTACATTCTCTCCTGCACAGGAAACAGTCAAACAGTCAGTTAGAGTAAATGAAGCATGCGTTCTGATGATAGTGACGCTTTGAGCTGACAGCAGAGCTGAGTGCTATGGCTCAGCGGGTATGCTCAGTGTTCAACAAGGCAGTGTGAAGGATTTGGGCAGGGCACCTTGTGGGTCCTGATGGAGCACTATGCTTCTGGTATTTTCTTCCTCACGTTGATGTTACAGCATAGATCTGCTCTTGGTGAAGTCCTGCCAATGTTTCAGTGCTTTTCTGTTATAGTGTTTCAGACACTTGCTCTGTGTTCTTGGTTTTTGATTATTAGTTTGATTATAAGTAACATCATTGTGTCTGATACACTCATACCAGCACCATACCACTACCATGTCAAAGTCACTGTCTCACCATGAGGCGAAAAACTCCACTGTATGCAATTGAGCATTTAGTCTAACTAATGCATTGCATTTAGCCAAACATGCAAACAAAACTACTCTGAGCTAACTCAATTAGCAAAATGACAAATATCCCAGTATATATACTTGACAGTTCTGAAAGTAACTTGAGTAATACTGGAACTACTGTATTGATTTGAATGAATGAGCTTGGAAAACTTGTTCTATCTGTATTAAGTGTTACGAGCACAGTGCGAGTCGTCTCTTCTCACCATGCGGAGTGGGGTAGCCAAAGACCTCTACCTCACAGAGCATCAGCGACAGGTTCTTTCCGGGGAGGAACACGTTAATGTAACGACCTGGGATGCCTCTCTCAAATTTGAAGATCTTGGAAAATCCTGCAGGGATGCCAGAGATCACCCCAGCCCTGGAGAGAAAAGAAAATGGCACAGACACAAGAGAGTCAGTGTACACATCCCTAATGAAAAACTCATAGAAACCAATGTGTTTCTGTTGGTTCATGGTGGTTTTGAAATGAGTTTTGGCATTTTTAATGGGCCCTTATGTTCTGCAAGCTGTTCATGGCACTTAGCAGTGTTACATCCGATTCAGTTCCCACTCAAATTCATGTTCCCCTTCATAAATTGAACGCTCGGTCGCCACACTCACTGAACAGAAATCAACAGCAAGGGACAGTGGAACTACGGAAAGTGGGAAAAAAAGTTTGAGAAAGGCTGTACGGACGAAAGGTTGACACACTCAGTAACAATGGCCATTTAACGTTAAGCTTTCCTGAACAGTTTCATTTTCTGTAGTTCCAGTGTTGCTTGCTGTTGATTTATTTTCAGTGAGTGTGGCACCGGAGTTTGATTTGTGAAGGGAAATGTGAATCAGATTTGGTATGAAGATAAGTCACCCATGCCTATAGCAGGGTTGAACCAGAGGGGCCCTGCAGAGGTGGAACTGACCACGATAAAAATGATTACAGTTTGGAAAGATGTGTTCACATTTCAAGCAAGGCCAGTATATTTTATTGTTACAGAGCAGTGCATTTCAGCTGTTAATGGAAAAAAAGGTCTTAGGGTGTAGCTACTCTTTAATGTCCAACTGTGTTCCTTATATGAGTTTTTAAGCTTCACGACATTCAATACATCCGCATGGGCTCTGGAATACAAACTGTCATCATTTAACACCTCTTCTGGCATAAAAACGTCTCTGGACTGGAGCGCATCTGAAATGGACTGATGCTCAGTGGAAACGTGTATTGTGGTCTAACAAGTCAGCCTTTCAGATTATGCAAATAATGGATGTCGTGTTCTCCAAGCCAAAGGAGTAAAGGACCATCCAGACTGTTAAGCGCAAAGTTGAAAATCCAGCATCTGTCATGGTGTGGGGGGGTATTATTGGGTAGTGAATACCCTGCACATCTGTGAAGGCAGCAATGACACTGATATATGCTATATGGACAAAAGTATTGGGACACCTACACATTACACCTACAGGAGCTTTTATAAATCCAATTCTAAATCCATAGGCATTAATAGGAAGTTGGTCCCCCTTTGCAGCTCTAACAGCTTCGACTCTTCTGGGAAGCTTTCTACAAGATTTTGGAGAGCGTCTGTGGAAATGCCTATTCATCCGGAAGAGCATTTGTGAGGTCAGACACTGATGTTGGACGAGAGGTTTTGGCTTGCAATCTCCATTCTAGTTCATCCCAAAGGTGTTCGATGGGGTTGAGGTCAGGGCTCTGTGAGGGCCAGTCAAGTTCTTCCACACCAAACTCACCCAGTCAGGCCTTTATGGAGCTGCTTTGTGCACTGGGGCTCAGTCATGCTGGAACAGGAGAGGTTCTTCCCCAAACTGTCCCACAAAGTCGGAAGTGTACAATTGTCCAAAATGTCTTGTTCTGCTGAAGCATTAAGATTCCCCTTCACTGGAACTAAGGGTTCTAGATCAACCCCTGAAAAACAGCCCCATATCATCATCCCCCCTTCCACTAAACTCTACAGCTGGCACAGTGCAGTCAGGCAGGTAACGTTCTCCTGGCATTCGCCAAACCCAGACTCAACATCAGACTGACTGATAGAGAAAAGTGATTGTCACTCCACAAAATATGTTTCCTCTGCTCCCGAGTCCAGTGGCGGCGCTTTACCCCACTCCACCCAGTGCTTGGCATTGTGCATTTTGATCTTAGGCTTGTGTGCAGCTGTTTGGCCATGGTAATCCATTTCGTGAAGCTCCTAATGCACAGTTCTGTTGTTGTTGTTTCTTCCAGAGACAATTTGGAACTTTTTAGTGAGTGAGTCAACAGAGGATACACACTGTGCACTTCAGAACTCAGTGGCCCACTCTGAGAGTTTGCGTGGTCTACCGCTTCAGCTAAGCTGTTGTTTTTCCTAAATGCTTCCATTTCACAATAAGAGCACTTACAGTTGACAGGGGCAGCTCTAGCAGGACAGAAATTTCACACACTGACTTATGTCAGAGGTGGCATCCAAAGACAGAGCCATGTTTAAGGTCTCATCAGTACGTCCCATTTTACTGCCAGTGTTTGTCTATAGAGACCACAAGGCTATGTGCTTAATTGTATCCACCTCTTGGCAATGGGTGTGGCAGAAACACCTGAACTCAATAATTAGTGGGTGTGTCCCAATACTTTGTCTATGTAGTATACACACATTTTGGAGCAACGTAAGACGCCATCGGTTTCATAGATGCTATTTCAACCAGACAGTGTGGGTGCTAGACTAGTCTCCTGTTGAAAACTTGTGGTGCATTATGAAGCACAAAATACAACAACAAAAGCACGGTACTGTTGCACTGCTTAAGATTTAAGTGCTTTAAAAGGAAAAGTGAGGTAACAAAGTAGTAAACAGGCCACTGTCCCAACTTTATTGGAATGTGCTGCAGGATTCATATTTGGAATGAGCATAATTTTACAAAAAACAATAAAGTTCTAAGGTGAAACATCATAGATCATGTTTTGTACTTTTTCCAGTTTAGTACAGGTCAAACAGAATTTATAGTAACTGCTTTCTGGTTTTATTGCCATATCACATACTGCCTCAACTTTGGATTTGTAAAGTGTTTTAATCGGCCAAGCTCAGCTCTGAGTTTGTTGCAAGTGTCACTCACATTTGTTGGGCTATCAGTCGCTGTCACTACTATTTATCATTCAATATGAGAAAATAGAAAATGTGAAGAATTAGTGTTCAATGGATTGTGTTCAAATTCACATGCTCAATGGCATTTTGGTTGTGGTTCATTGTTGTGTGAAGTGGGTTATGTCATATAAAACAAACAATGGAGAAATATCTTGAGACAAGGATTTAGAAATGCAGTGTTAATATTGCCATGCAAAGCCAACTCCTACAACTGTCAAACAGCCAGTTCCCTCACAGTGGGTTGCTGTTTCCATCATCGAGTAAAGAGTTTCCGATGTGTATCTCAGCTCCGTTGATCCTCTCTGGACAGCAGTCTGCTCTGTTAGTGATGGTGATGGAGATCACTGTGTACTCGTCCAGAAGGTCCACCCTCCACCAGGGGTTTTGTTGCGTCTCGGTGGCGGTGCACGACCCGTGGTTGTAATTTGAGTCAGTATTTCCATCTATAGCGTTGTAAGCGTGGCCTAATGCCCCCCAGGGGTTTCCAATCAAACTTGACTGTGTGGCTTTTCCATAGAGAGCGAGGTTTTTGGCTGGAATGAACAGAGCAGTGCAGATTTGGTCGGTTATACATCAACATAAACAGCATCATTCTGTGATCTGTGTTTTATGAAAATAATTTTGTTTGAAAGTTTTAGGTTACTTTCCAGAAATGTTTTTTTTTTTTCATAATTTATTATGTTTGAATTAATTTATGAACTTCATTAACTATTCTATTAATGTTCTCTATAATTAGTTATAATTAGTTGTAATTCATATTGCTGGACTGCCCAGCGGGACAACCTACGAAAGTTAATGCGTCTTACTGAGTGACTGACTGACTGATCAGCGTCGTTGAAACAAGCCCACTTGAGACAAGCAGCAGGTGGCGCTAAACACCACTAAATGTCACAACCTTCCAACTTCATTGCAAATATAAGTAACCGATATAGCTAAAATTGATTTAAAGACAGAAGAACTGCATTCATGAGTCTTGCGATAATGACAACCTAATAAGTGGTGAAATAACACCGCAGTGAGTGGTTCTGTTTGAGTTTAAACTGTGTGAATTCAGTTGGAATTTTTCCTGGATCAGAGAATTCCTAGTGAGCCTTAAAATGGCACTGACTGCAGGCCTTGAACACCACTGCTATCACATAGTCCCATAAAAACGTCCATTTAAATAAGCTGATGTACTTTAACACTAACTGAACATTTTGCCTGTAATTATTGTTATTATTTTTGTTCTTATTATCATTATACAGTCATGTCATGCTAAAATCCAATAAATGTAACTGTATAAAGTATAAATCATTCTAAAAACACCAAAAGTCTAAATTAATAGCTAACTATTATATAATACTAAGAAATCTATAAATCATTCCTTCACCCAAAAAACAGCACACATATGTTTCAAAATAATAATTGTTTACTTTTTATTATACACAACGTGTTGTTGGGTACTATGTCTTCATTATGTTAAGTTGTAGCCCACAGAAACAAAATATACGTGCTAAACAATCAAGCAGGCAGGTACATGGAGAGGAACAATAACTTTTTCTACTTAAATAAACTGTAATTTTAGTATTAATTAGTGTTACTGAACAATTTATTGCCTTTCTATTATAAATCATAAAAAGAAAAGCATAGTGTAAGGAACCGTGTGGTGGAATTGTGGTGTTTTGTGCCTTGTTTATGTTGTAATAAAGTATGTTTGTGTCCATATGTATGTAAACATGATGTGTACCTTTCATAGATGCATCAGTGGAAGCAGCTGCTGTAAAAACTGCCAGCAGGTAAAACGTGTGAAGGTTCATTTTCTGATGGAGGAAATGAAGTACATTAACTCTTAACTCTTTTGTTATTGTTCAGTTATTCTAATACAGCTGACAGGCAGAACACAGAGGTTCCCTGGTAATATACATACACACACACACACACACACACACACACATATATATATATATATATATATATATATATATATATATATATATATATATATATATATATATATATATATACATACATTGCCTATATATCACTGTTGTTGGAACAGAACCTTGTATCTCCAAAATAAGAAAATTTACAAGAGCAGGAAAAAACATACTGTACTTCTATGTAAGTCAATGGAGTAATGTCATTTGTCATTTTTCAGTTTTTGACATTTGAAAATGCCTGTGGCCCTTTACACTGTCTACAAATTTCATGATGATGGGACCAAAAGAAACGGCCCAAAATTTACTTGGAAAAAGTCTGGTTCCATTGACTTACATTAGAAGTACAATAGGTTTTTTCCTCCTCCTGTAAAGTTACCATTTTGGAGATACGAGGTTTTGTTCCACCAACAGCGATATATATAAAATCAAAAATCAGCTTAATCTTTGTTTCCTTATAGGACTCATAGACAGGTACCATCTCAGTTCTTGCTTTTATTCACTCTTTCCGAGTGGGTTACCACTGAGAGGTCTAGGAAAAAATGTTTTTTTTCTGGAAGAACCAGAAAAATAAAAAATTAAGCTGTTTGTGTAACAACTAATACTGCAAATCCAGGTGGTCAGACAGGTGGAGACAAAGTCAGCATCTCTCAGCCCAATGTCTGGACAAACAGACACCCAACAAATTGATGTGTTCACTTTAGCCCATTGGGGCTTTCAATGCAATTTGAACTAAAACCAGCCCAAATGCTTTTGATTAGATTTAGGTTAATCTTTGAATTCATCTGATGTTTTCACATATCCTCCCAAATGTACCTATTAAATGTTATTCATAAAATAATCAGCCTAAGCTGTTAGTGAGCATAGGAAGATGGAAGAAAGAGCTTAGCCAAGGATTAAATAAAATAAAATAAAATAAAATAAAACAATAATGAGTTATGTTTTTTCAAGCAGCTTCATGAGGAGCCACCTGGTGTGCTTTTCCGGTATGACTGAAGAAAATTTAATTTTATGTCTGTTCTTAATTTCACCACAAGGTGCCACTGCTGTGTTAATAATGCTCCACCATCCAAATAATATTGATTACACATACTTTAAATTTACTTTGGTTAAATCGTGATTTTGTTTCATGTTTTTAGAGATGAGTCACACTTATTATCTTTTCAACCTTCAACAAACTTGTGAATATTAATGGCTCTGTGGTGTGGCTTTTATTTTGAAATACTGGATGTAAAGATATGTTTGATGCTATTGCTATGGGAATGAAATTACATTCATAAATGCCATGCATTGATAAGAGCTTTTTGAGTAGCGCTGTTGTGGGAAGAAAACCTCGTATCTCCAAAATGGTAACTTTACAGGAGAAGGAAAAAAACCTACTTTACTTTTAATGTAAGTCAATGGAACCAGACTTTTTTCCAAGTCATTTTGGGTCGTTTCTTTTGGTCCATTCATCATGAAATTTACACAGAATTCTTAGTAATGAATCTGCAAATGATTTAATTTGACACGTCTCCTTTTCTGTTTTCCTCATTCTTATTCTCCCTACAATAACTGTATTCCTTTGTTAAACTTATGATTTATAGCTTTCTTCAAAATGCAACTGTTGGTATAATGAGTCAGTAAAAAAATCAGAGTTTCCGCACTGCTGATTACAATATTGTGGTGGTGTTCATTTGTGCTAATCTGCTAAACACAATATTTCCAGTGTAATGAAAATAGTTGGCACTCAATCTGTTTGAAACTATGCCCTGTTCACTATATAGTGCAATATTGTGGGGTGATGTCTGAAAATATTGTGCAGAATATTCAGTGCATTTAGACAATCTCACAATGCACTGCAATAAATAGTGTACAACCGATGTACCCTACCGGACAGGGTACACTCATAATGCACTGCATTGTTTGTATGTAATGGGCAAATCTGTATAACGTTAGTGTCCAAAACTGTTTACAACCATCGCAAATTCTGTTTCTTATGATAGTGTTTTCGAATGTAGGTTGTGAGTCATTCTACAGAAACGTCCATTTTTGTGTCCCTAGCGTTTACAGATATATTACACTTAAAAAAGGTTTGGGTTACAATTTATTTATATTTAAAATAAAACAATAAGTTATTTTAACAATTACAAATTCTTGATCCACCAATTTAGCAATATTGGTTTTTAAATCAATCATACAGAATTCCAAGCACCACAGAAGAGCTCATCCCCACAGTCATGTGTGAAGGCTGAGGCCATATTTTGAGGTAAAAAATGTTTTTCTGCAATTTTAACTGCAATAATCTATACATGACTATGGAATATATCAATTAAATGACATAAGAAAAAGAAAACAAACACCAAATAAATATTATAAAATATATAATGAAAGCTGTGGTCCCCAGGAGTCGTGTCACTGGTGTTACTGCGTAACAAAAAATCTCTTATTTTGAAATAAAAGTCACACAGATGACATCACTTGACTTCCTTTTACCTGTTTTCTGAGGATCTATGAAGAAAAGCACATGGTGAGTCCACTGAGTCTTTCAGTTATCAGAGATTTTCTCAGTAGCAGTAATGCTAACCAATCAGCATTCAATAGCAGTAATACTAACCAATCAGCACTAAGTAGCAGTAATGCTAACCAATCAGCATTCAATAGCAGTAATACTAACCAATCAGCACTAAGTAGCAGTAATGCTAACCAATCAGCACTCAATAGCAGTAATGCTAACCACTCAGCACTCAGTAGCAGTAATACTAACCACTCAGCACTCAGTAGCAGTAATGCTAACCAATCAGCACTCAGTAGCAGTAATGCTAACCAATCAGCACGCAGTAGCAGTAATACTAACCACTCAGCACTCAGTAGCAGTAATGCTAACCACTCAGCACTCAGTAGCAGTAATGCTAACCAATCAGCACTCAGTAGCAGTAATGCTAACCACTCAGCACTCAGTAGCAGTAATGCTAACCAATCAGCACTCAGTAGCAGTAATACTAACCACTCAGCACTCAGTAGCAGTAATGCTAACCAATCAGCACTCAGTAGCAGTAATACTAACCAATCAGCACTAAGTAGCAGTAATGCTAACCAATCAGCACTCAATAGCAGTAATGCTAACCAATAAGCACTAAGTAGCAGTAATACTAACCATTCAGCACTCAGTAGCAGTAATGCTAACCAATCAGCACTCAGTAGCAGTAATACTAACCAATAAGCACTCAGTAGCAGTAATGCTAACCAATCAGCACTCAGTAGCAGTAATGCTAACCAGTCAGCACTCAATAGCAGTAATGCTAACCAATCAGCACTCAATCATAGCCAATATACCCACGTTGTCATAAAATGTTTCAAAACAATACATGTAGTATGTATTAAAGTATACTGCCAGAGTACACATTAAATTAAAGTATGTAACTTTTGAAACATGCACCCTTTTTCACAAGGGGTCAGACAGGTGTGGAAAAAGTAGGCTTTTCTCACCCCAGTGGCTGGACAACAACAACACATCCAACAAGTTGATGTTTTTAGACACAATGCATCGACCCTTTCCAACCACCACCTTTTCCAGTAAAGGTGTCAATCAACCATCACTGTCTGATTTTACTGGTTATCTCTAGCTTTATTAAGAGACCCTGAACGGCCTCCATGCAGTCGCTCTGTATTAGTGCAATTATCACCCAGCTCACGACTCCTTTTAGAAACACCTCAGTCAGGAAAACTTTACTGGTACTCACTCAGCTGTGTTTTTAGAGAGTCTCTGTGTCCAAGAACTTTTGGTGCGATGTTCATGTGAATTATCAAAGCAAGTATGCGTGTGAGTGCACTGTGCACTGTGCACAGGCTGCAGGATCAGCCCTTTTATACTTTTACATGAGGAAGATTGATTCTTCTCTAGTACTCCGTTTACATCACGTTCACTCAGCAGGGAATATTTTCCCAAACAAAACAAAGCTGTGACCTAAAATGAGCCCCATTGATTTTGACTCTTTTAGGCTCAGATTCATCTCTGATTTCATCGGATGGTTTCACATATCCTCCCGTATGTGCATTACCCGTCATTCCCACAATAAATGGCTCACAATAAATGGCTCTCTGTGCAATTTAATAATCAGGTTGATTTAAGGCAAGTATTTGTTTTTATTGCTCTCATAATGCGTGCAGTAGAGAGTTAAAATGCATTTGTTTGTATTTGATTTTTTTTTTTAATTTTATATAGTTTTAACAAAGCTTACATTTAGGACTAAATATACACAAATTGAATGAATGGTACTGCATTAACCATGTACGTCTGCATTAAGACACTCACACACAATGTATTTCAAATAAACAAGATTTTAGATCATAACTGCATTTTCACAGAGTATCAATACCCACAACACTCGCTTCTGTCCTGTTAAAGGATCAGTTATCATATTTTAAATTATGGGGGTCTAATAAAAGAACAAGGAACATGGAACAAGAAACACGACAGCTAGGATAAACATCTCACATTAAAAAGAAAGTATCAGTGTTACATTTCACAAAGACAGACTATAGATACACAGAAAAAGACAGAGATGATATCAATGACAGAATGGGAAACACAGATAATAGGTGCAGACAACGGTTAATCCCAGGGACAATACCTGGGAAAGTAACTCCCCAAACTCGGTATATAAAGGCTGTCCAAAATTTCCCCAAGGGCTCAGATACAGTTCAACCAGGAAGTCGCCAACTGTTCTGGAAGAACATTCAGGGAACTGCAGAAAAAATCTGTGCTCATGAATTCACAGTACAGAAGGGACAGTAAGGCACAAACACTAATATCTAAAAGAAACATCAGTGCTCGTCTCCCATTAGCAAAAAAGCACCTGGACAATCGTTAAGCCTTTTGGGATGATGTTCTATGGGCAGAC